CCTGGACTGTCTTACATGGACTGACGTGACCAACTACAAATACAGTAGTAGTAGTTCAGCAGCAGCAGAAATACTTGAGTGTTGTTTAAAATCTTGTGCTCTATTTTAGTTGTATTTAAGCACAAGCATACACCACACAATACACAACTCTACAATCAACACTGTGAAGAAACAGTGTAAAAATTTGTAATTTTATATATTTATATATATTTTTTTTGCACTGAAAGTTCAGAAACATTGAATGTATTTTTTTGTTGTTGCTTTATTTGGTAAATGTCTTATTAAAATGTTGCACATGCACGTGATGATTGACAATTTTTCAGTATGACCTGATGTAAAGAAATTGTGTGACTACCACTAAGTTAGGCATTCAAACTTTAAAAGATTTGAGATGACAGTGAAAAGGGTAAAAATTAAGCTCTCCATTCCCATCGAGTTATGCTTGAGAAAAATATAGCGCTGAGCCCGCAGCAGTAGTTAAGAGTCTATTGATAAATCTGATAAAAACTGATTAATTTAAAAGTTAAACTCCAAATCAAATAGCTGGTCGTCAATGAATTTTCAGCTATAAGACAGCCTGAACAGCCCCGGCTAGGAACCTCTGCTTGGTTCTGAACAGATCTGTGGCTGTAAAGAACAGCTACGGTGTGACTTTATGAGGCGATAAGTTACTGGAGAATAGCGTATGTGCTCACTTGTTGTTGCCTGCGTAAATAAAAGTAGAGTGAAAGTTCATTTTGCAACATCACAGACAATGAATTAGCCACTGACTGAGCCCACATTCTTTAAATAATTCCTCTCACGCCTTCAATGTCTGCTCTGTCTAACCTCTCCTGAAGAGGTTATCTAGAGCAAATTGAAATTGCTTTCACCACTTGAGTGCCAACGGTTTTAAGGATGACCGCAGGGTCAACACCAGCTATCGAGAGTCCCATCTCTTCCACTGTTTATGGTCTGGTAAGCTCTCGCTGGCTCCCACAAACAGCATGTTAAATAGCAATTGTGGCTCGGTGCCTGGTGACTCACAAAGTGAGATTGTAGACGAGAGCTGAGAATGTTGGATGGTTAAATGTAAATGTAAAGAATATAAAACTGTATGCCCAGTGTACAACTAGAAATACCTTAAGAGCTGAAATTTGTTATAGTAGTTGCTTTACCCAGTCCAACCAGTAGAGGATGATATTGTTCCACTTTTTATTGGATCTAAAATGAACTAGTTGATGAAATCAAGAAAATTTATAAATTATTAATTTTTGAAATTTAAATAATTTACATTAATAGCGTAATAGATGTAAGCAGTTTGCCTTAACTATGCGTTTCTGCAGCCCTTGAATTTTATATTTCGGCTCGTTCAAAGTAACTCTCCGCTTTCATTGCACCAGACCCGACACTGTAGCCTGAGGTCACATTTGCCTTTGAACATATTCTCTCCCCTCAGCCTCCCAATCCCTGTATCATAAGGCCAGGGCTGTTAATGTGGTGCCCTGGGGCAGCCACTGGAAGTCACGGCAAAGTCAAAACTGAGTCAGCTCAGTGTAGAGACTGTCACAAAGACTCTCAAATTTTAGTCACCAAACCTTCCTTCTTAAAAATATTTTCACTATTGATATATAGATATGTAATGAGTTTTACCTATATCGGTGATTATGTGAAGAATAACATTGTTGTGGGCTCTGTTACAATGCTGAAATAGGCAGATCAACAGCTTCTATTTTTGATCATCTTTCATTCTGTTAATACACCATCACTGCATTACGGCGGCATAAAGGAAAACTAATGTAGACCATAGCAACACACAATTTGCCAGGTCCATACCTACTCAAACTCATTAATGATGATGAAGGTGACCTGACTTGAAAATTCTATTCCTAATCTAATTATGTTGATTCTCACTCAGCCTCCTCTTGAATGAAAAGGCGGCCCTTGAAAAGATTTTTAAAAATCTGCATTTTCAGCGTGCTCACGTTGGTTCCTTGGAAAAGTCTTGTAGATTTTGCATTGTGGTTAAGATAAGACAAATAAGTTATTCAAATGTTTGCGAAGAAGATGCATTTTTACGATGTATGGTATGCGTATTTAAAGTTACAGTATGTGAGGTGAATATCACACTGACAATTTACTCAAAAATTGTCAAAAAATTGGTAATATGGTCAGTTTTCCATGTTACCAGGGGAATATGCAAAATTGAGTGGACAAAGAAACAGTAACTGAGTCCTCCTGAACAATTCTGGTCTTAGCTTGTTTCCAGGCAGACTGTACAGTTTGTGTGTATAGTCAGAACACACTATATACTTGTGACACATGTCCTGATAACATCATTAACTGCGTCATTGCAGTGACAACAGGAAAACAGATATTCAAGCCCAAGATGATGCAACACAACATTTATTTCCTAAGAAGACTGTGGTGGGAGGGGGCTTAGCTCACACTCCACACTTGCAGTCATGCAACACCACCCCCCACCCCTACACTTTGCTGAGGGAAGCATCACACAAACTTACCATGGATGGAAACAGCAGCAAACAAGTATGAAAGCAGGCCAGCAGGTTTGGGGGACAATAAAATTCAGTTTGGGACTGACACAAACAAACCCGTTTTGAAAAAGGCCTGATTCAAATTACATCAAAGCATTTAGAATCACTGCAACGATGCATAGCCAGTTGCATTTTGTGGGAAAAGCTGTGTGTGCGAGGTTGGATGCCACATGAATCAAAGCAGCATGCCAGATTTCATCAGAGGCACACTGAATGTCCTTAGGCGATATACAGAACCAAATGCAGCAGACACATTGTATATCAGGGAAATATGGAATAAACAGCAAGAGATGCCTTCACAAGTATGGAAAAAGGAAACAAAATAGGTGGAGGCTGGGGGAAGTCAGTACAATCAGCAACAACAGATTGTAACAGGTAGGAATCATCAGCATAACAGCAGCTGCACTTGTGATTTTCTGTTTCACCTTATCTGTCAGTTTGTGTTTGCATGTGTGTCTTAAGGAAGTGGAAAATGAGGTCAGTAAGTGGGGGACAGGTGTTGGTCGGTGAGCAGAAGGATCATAGATGACCCTGCTATAACACACATTGACTTTGACAGTCTCAGATGTCCCTACTGGAGGAAGGGTTTAGGGCAAGGAAGAAGAGGATAAGAGGTGAGAGCAGGTGAAACAACAACAGAACGACAAGAAGAAGAGAAAAATAAAGAGCAGAGAACGCTGCTGAGAAATGACCGATGAGAGGTCTCAGCATGAAAGATCATCAAAAATAATCACATATTTGGAAGGCATGCCAACATGCAACTTGGGCCGGGGAAGCTACTTTACATAGAGATGACCCTGATTTGCTGGAAAGACTTAGCGATGAAGGGATGGAGGGAGGAGCGGACAGTTGGGACGAAGGGCTGTTGAGCTATTTTTGTCCGGACCCCACCATCCCCCATCGTACCCGCACTCTATGAAACACGATCTGAGACTCGCCCTTCAGAGTGGGGGGGCTTGATGTGAGAGGGTGGTCATGCTGAGTTTTAGTAACCTGGGTTATAACGGCCAAACTTGTTTATGAAGATTTGATCCTGGCCTGTATCCCTTTTAATCAATCATCCTCCTTCCCTCTGTATCTAGCTGTCTGGCAGCAAGACCTATTGTCCACTGTGTTTGCAACATGTGCACTAATACTGAGCACAGATAGATATAAAGCCTATGAAAATCATCCACCCTCAGAGAGAACACACAATCCTCCACCAGTCGTCATATAATATTTTATTCACCATGAAAAAGTTGCCTGAAAAAGCGTGGGTGGGCCTTAATGAAAAAAGGGATGACAATGAGTAATACACCAACTCTTTGCAGAGACAAGAGAAGCACAGATGCAAAAGATAAAGACCATTACTCTCATGTCTACACACACACACAATCTCTAGTTTCTCAATCTAACCTCACTTAAAAACATTTGCCACTGACAGCAGAACAAATAGACTTACATTATGTAGTTCTTTATAAAGAAATATGTCCATCAATCAGTATAAAATCAAACAGTAATTATAATTTATGTCTTTAATAACAAATTTAGCTCTGCATGATCAAAGTATTACAAGATTCCATCATTCAATTTCATCCCATAGGCTGTTATCTAATAAAAACTGTACTTAGATTGAATTTCCGTCAGCACATTTGCAAAAGCAATCAACTCAACCGTCACTTACGAAAAAAAGCCCAATTACCCATAAAAGACAGCACCCTATGAAGAGTGACCCTGAAAATAATCTTGGATCAGCTCCCTCCTTCTGCAAACACACACACACACTCACACTCACACACACACACACACAATACACAACACAATCTGATATTGGTCTGCTTAATCTTAGCCCTCTTCATCTCCTCTCATATTCTCCTTACCCAGCACTGATGCCTCATCCACGTCATCCTCTCACACACACACACACACACACACACACACACACACACACACACACACACACACACACACACACACTAACTCTAACACTCACTGAGTCGGGCTCAGAATAGACTAATCTCACATGTGACAGTACACCAACTAATATATTCACAGGACATTTTTGCTTTGCCTTGCACTTTCTTACATATCTTAATATCTCTGATACCATTATTTTTCATTGCCCTTTGGGTTTTACTATTACTAGTGTACAGTAGCATGTGTTTTAATGTCTAGACACAAGGAGCCAAAAGCAACCATTCAGTAGAGAATATGGGAGATGAAAATGAGATAACAGGAAAAAAGTGTCCGTCACAGGTAAAGCATTTTGAAAACAGCAGCCTTGCCATTTAAGCTTTTCCAATGGCCCCCTCTTTTGGCAGGAAGAAGGAGGTGACGCACTTGGCATCTAAACTGCTGACACAGAGAAGTGGTATGCTGGACATGTGATGCCAGGAAATAATTTTTGTTTACTGTATATACGTGTAAATGATTACGTTGTTGTGTTAGTAATGACTAACTTGTTGGTCTTGGCATAAAGGCAGTTACCTGAAAGTCGGTGCTGTTTGGTGCTCACTCGGTTGGTGTTTTGGACTGTGCAGCAGAGGTGCAGCATGGCAAACATGGTGAGGATCATCACCACACTCTGGAGCAGCAGGGTCAGCTCAAACTGCTTCCCTATCCTAAAAGGACGTGACCAAAACACCATTTTTTATATAGGAGGTGACTTAAATGAATTAAGAAAAATACAGTGTAAACACGTTAATATGTTATTTGCAATAAAAGTACAAATAAAAATGATAACAAATAAACAAGGCATGTAAACACCACTGTTAAAACACCAGACTATTCTATTTAATTGTATGGGTTTTATTACAGGACATGTCATAGAGGGTATAAGGAGCACAGCTAGAGATTTTATAATCATAAATGTTTTAAGCAGATTCCATAAAGAATCTATCACATTCCCTCTCTGGTCCCTCGATTCAGAACAATGACTTTTGCTCTCTGATGTGTAAAACTATTACAGAAAAGCTTATCGGTGAGCAGCATATGCTTCTGATTGTCTACTCAATCTCATTTTATTCTGTGATTTTATTCCTACTCCTTTAACTTCTGACACCAAGACTGATCTGAGTGACCTCATCAATGGCACAAGTGTCCCAAAAGGCAAAACGGATGAAAGCAAGAAAAAGAAAATCAGAGGGATGTACAGCATGCTTTCCCTCTCATTCTCACCAGAAGAATATGCGCAGGATGTTGGCTATGAGCAACACCAGACAGACTCTGGTGGAGAAGCCCTCAGTGTTGCTGCTCCTCTGGATCTCCTGGTACTGTGGCACATAGGGCAAGGCCCCTCCAAACACCATGAGGCAGGACGCCAGCCAGGACAGCAGCGTCCACGAGCCCTCCAGGTCCTCCTCCTGCAGAACCACCTCTTCATCCATCACACTGAGAGAAGCTCAGGGGCGTCCACGCCACGGGGTCTAGCGGTTGCACCTTGGAAGCAGAAAGTTAACAGGATTTATAATCTGATGTCTTTTCTGAGGCAACCAGAGGTCTGTACGAAACCAAACAGCAGTAAAATCTATTAAACTGATTAGGTTGAAATGCCTCAGTTGTGTATGGCCCAGCTGCCACTCCTCAACTCATAATACCTATATACTTTTAGGGGAAATAAAATTCATATCAAACAATAGACCAGTATGCTTTTTTATTATAAGACATTTTGACATGTCACAGCAAGAAGAGCAGAGGTGTAAATAATAAAATGAGTGCTGACTAAATTCAATTTAGCTGCTGTTGTTTCAGGGTCCTGGTATAGTTCATGCTGGTTCTTGACACTTGAATAGAACAGAGCCTTGTTTAACATTATTAGTAACCCCTGTGCTTTTCCTACTGTGACAAAAAAAATGTCAGTTGTAGATGGCAAAAGTTACATTTGGGTTTAGTTTATATATTCTTATATCTTATATTCTTCATCAGTCTTGGATGCACACTACAGCAGCAAGAATTCAGCATAAAGACTTTAGCACTTAATCGTTTGTTACTCTTTCTGCTGTGCATATTTAATACAGTTAAACTATGTGCATGCAGACCTTTCTCTGTAGCTAATGTACATATTTTTCTAGGTCAACATCTGTTGATGTTTTTAGGTTGAGCACAATTATATTTCCCTTTTCCTGCTTTTTGTTAAGGTTACCAGTAGGTCATCTGCAATTCAGTCAGTCAGTCAGTCAGTCAGTCAAAAGAGCATTTCCTTTACTGCCTGATTAGTCTGTCAAAACAGATGCAAGTCATTACATTATTGTTTTATTCATTTAGTAAAACATTAACCAAGCTTTAAAACATCTACAATTTTCATGCTTTACTTTACTTTCATGCTTTACTTTACTCTACCAACAATTCGTTGTTGTAGTGCAAAATGCACACAGGCAGTATCGGTGGTTTAAATAAACATGTAATTTAATTAGTAAGTTATTATGCTGTAGGGATATTTTTTGCTGTGCAGGACACACAAGAGTAACTACTTTTTAATCAAAACTGCTTTTAAGTTCACACATTTGAAGCAAAACCCAGATGTGTGTTTTATGAAAAAGCCATACAGTGGGATGGGGATGGCAGGTTTGGAAGTGAAGCAAAAATGTGAAATATCCCATAGAGAGAGAGGAAGTGCAAGGAAAGGTTAAATAGCCAATAGCCAGTGAAGGCAGTTATGACAGGCAGGTATTGGGGGCATTGCTAAGGTGACCTGGGTGGGAGATGTCAGCATTAGCTGCCACAGTGTGGCGATAACAAGCCAAAATGCAAGTCTTTGTCTCCTCCTACTAACCGACTTCTATCAGAGTGAAAGTACACTCTGAGGAAACACATAGTTAAAGACATGTTAGAACCAAGCTGTTTTGTCTGCATTACTAGTAATTCAGGTAGTTGAGTTCTACAATCCCCAATAGTGTTTTATGCAAGTATTAGCAGCCATTGTTGATGTGATAATTACATAGATTACTAAGGTGACAAGGTTAGTGATTCTCTCCTTGAACATAGCAATCTACAGAACAAAGAGAGTGTTTTTTACAGTTCAGTGTGATTTTCTAATACTGATAAACAGCTCCTTGGAAATGGCATGTGAACGTATTCATGTAGCAGCCAGTGTGTTGCTATATACACAAAACCATGACCAAGACATTCTGAGCGAACAGTGAGAAGTACAGGAAGTTGGTGGGACATGATTCTTATGTGACTCTTCTTGTGGCTGTGTAATAATCAAGTTAACAGCACTATTTTCAATGTCCAATCCAAAACAGTGGGACCAGTACAAACATAGACGCCTTTGTTCCGATACATGTTTGGCAGCCAGTCAGTTGACAAGTCACTCAGTTTAGCTTAGCGAACCAGTCAACACTAGGTCAACACACTGAGAAGTACTTTAGGCATGACAAAATAGGAAACCTCACCAGCAGGTTCTCTAATAGTAATTTGTGCCACTCTCTGGGTATGATTGCTGATAATAGGCTATTTCAACAGAGCAGCAGATGCATGTTTACATGGTGGAGTTATCCAGAAGATGAACAGTCTGATTACTCATTAGGCATCTGTTATTTCACATAACTCAGCTTTAAGTAACAACATAAGGAAGTCCTAATTTCTCAAGAACGTCACACTTCACTGAGATACTAAATCTGTCTCACATTTATGTATCTTAGAGTCGTTTAAAAAGTTAAGATTTTTAACAATGCAAAGTTCATGCAAACCTGCAGAGCAGCCCTTGATCACATTCCATAAAAGATGTTTTTACAGGTTCCCTACAGGTTAAACATTATTCAGGAAATTAACAATACAAGGCGTCTCCAGCTCTTCCCTTCTGCTGGCGGTGTGAGTAAACCATCACTGTATAGCAGTCTAAACGCGTTGGGCAATCTCCTGTAACATTTGAAGCTGTGTTATGTAAGCAAAGCATAGCTCCATGGGGTTGGGCGAACATGCCTGAACTTTCAGACATCAATTTTGGGCTACTGGATAGGCTACTGCAAGTTCAGTAACAGGACACAGAGAAACAGAAATGAACACTGTTATAAGGACATATAAGACTGGGTTTGACGTGTGTAATGTCGAATTCACAACTCTAAGGTAAATATATCTCTAAAATCATCAGAGAAAAATCTGCGTCTTTTTCTAAAATAGTAGTTTCAGTTTTAAAAAGCACATTCACTACACGCACAGTTTCCCATCGTTCCCAGTAAGAGTTTAATGCTTGTATAAGTGGCAGAATTTAATATTCGACATTTTATAGGTAAACCGTGGACAACTTCCAGCTTCACTTACCAGTCGCCTTCATTCACTTTCCTCCACCTTATCACAACCACCCACCCGCACACTCACACGAATGTTTCAGCGTCAAAACACACCGGGTTCCCCCTAGCAGCTCCAACTTTCAAATCTCAACACGTTCACACGAGAGGAGGAGAAACGCGCGTGCACATACACACTCACGCGCGCGCGCACAGACACATACATCGTTGTTTAGTATAATTTGCGGACTAACCAAATTCCAGCAACAAACATGCAGGTCGTTAAGGCTGGGGAATTTCATGTGATGTAGTCTACTTACTCTGGCGAACAAATGCTTTGAGTGAATACCGTTTAGGGTGTCCCTGAGGCCATGAGGGGTAAACAAAACTACAAAGTACTGTACACGCTCCCCATTCAAAACTCAATGTTCCACATTTCTTAGCATCCTGACTCGGTTCTCGCGAGAGTCTCTGTGTTGTGGAACAGCTGACTGTGCAGTGGGTGGTGCGACGGACTGCTATCTGTTTCGAACAGTTACGAACCTGATAGCAAAACAATCGGTTGATAGCTCTTTGAATTTTAATACTGTTTAGGCACTGATAATCGTTTACAGCACAACATGGCTGAGACGGATCCCAAGTCGGTTCAGGACCTTACCAATGTGGTGAGTCGTAATCGTGTTGGCAAGCCTGCATTAGCTACAGTAGCTTAGCCAGCAGTGGCAATAAGGATGCTAATGATGGCAAGCTATCGTTAGCTACTAAGCAAGCAAAGGTTAGCCAGAGTATAGAGAATATATAACACTGTGTGCTAGTTATTTGACTGTGTAATGAAATAGGTTCATGGGCTCATAGTATTCAACGTGTCTAATGTCGCTAGAACGCCCTGGCTTTTGTTTAGCTTGACCGTGTTATGTAAGTAATGGTCAGTTGGTCTTTCAAATGACATCACTAAATCACAACCGAGTGAAACGCATTGTATTACATTACCAGAAGTTATGCTGCAGCATCTCTAGAGAGACACTTTTAGTAATAGTAATTTTTACATTGTCGGTTTCCATTATATTGAATATTTTGAAGGTTCACACAGAGAACTTACACAATTCATTGTGCAAATGAAATCCTACTTATGTTTTACGACACAGATAGCTGAGGTAATGTTTCTGGATGTTGTCATGGTGATAAGCTTTACTAAGAGGTGTTAAGTTTCAGACATAACAATCCTCTCGTTTGCTTTGTTTCTTTTTCATATAGTAGGGTCCAAAAGGTGTCTGTGTGTCTACGGAATACATTTGGTGTATTTAAGAATGTTGCTCAGAAAAGCTCCTTTTCACAAGTTTTTAGCATTTAAAGCATAAATTCGGTTAAATTAAGCTGTGATAGAGCCACATTACGTAACGGGCAGACAGGTAATGCAGAAATACAGAAAATTGTATAGACACCTTTTTTCACAGTCAACTGAGGAATCATCTCCCATGGTTACTAGGCTTTTGCATTGTTGTCAAGGTAACAAGTTACATATGTTATCATTTTACTGCTGCTTTTTTAGAATCATTTATAGAGCACAGGCTTAGTGCATTTGAGCTTCAGTGCAGGTGCCACGGTATTATTAATACTGTATGGTCCACTGGCAGTGTTTCAATTTAAATTCATTGTGGTGTCACATTCAACCACAAATTAATCTGGTGGATTTGATGAATGGCTCCCATCACCAGTGAACCAACTTATGAATTCTTATTTTGTCACTAACAGTATTTGTGTGGTTTGTTTCACAGGTGCAGACACTGCTGCAACAGATGCAGGACAAGTTTCAGACCATGTCAGACCAGATTATAGGAAGGAATATCCTATCATATGAAATGCACTCACTTGTTCATTGAGTAAATGCTTAATGTTAATAGTTTTGATTTAGTTTAATTTTTATCCAATAATAAACTGATGTCTCATTGTTGATTTTTTTCTCTTTTTCACTGCATTTTCCTTTCCACAATCAAAAGTACTGATTTACAGGCTGACACAGATATAATTTTGGTCATTTTTAGATTAACCTTGAGTCATTTCATTTTAATTATGTGCCTTAACCACCTCTCCACTTGATGAGATGAGCACACGTATTGATGACTTGGAGAAGAACATTGCTGACCTGATGACCCAGGCTGGTGTTGAAGAGATTGAGGCAACACCAGAAAAGGCTAAAGAGGGTCAAGGCTCATAATGAAGGTATGAAAAAAGTCCATCTACCTCTCCACCTATGATTTTATGTTAATTTAGCTTTGTCTGGTTTCCTATTAATGTGGAAAATTCATGTTTAATGTTGATGAATTCACCTTCAGTCTCAGTTTATAACAACATGGATCATTTGTTTTCTTTGCCCTACAGGTTCCTAAGTAACAAGGTGTGAAGTTGGTCCTAAATTCAGGAGCAGCAGACTTTTCCATTCTGAAATGATTTGTATTGATTTGGTGTGTCATTGTGTGAAATGCTTTTTTATATATTGAATATTGTGATTAACGGTTACAGTTATGTAATGACTTGAAAAGCTGAACGTTATTTGTAAGCTAGAATAGTGTGATATGCCCTCCAGAACTTAAAAATGCTCATGCAGGAATGCAATTTATGGATTTAGTGTGCTGACCTGGAGGTTATTTCGCTGCCATTATATATCATAGCTAATTCAGTCCCATAAGGTGATGCTTGGTGGGGACAGCTTTGCCCAAGCTTGTGCTGCAAAGCACACCCCCCAGCAGGCTAGCAGGCCAGTAGAAACCTCCATCTCTACCCACATGGGAAATGGGCACTGTGATCATCTGAAGCCTGCAGTGTTTTACAAACAGCACTGTTACTACCAAGGATGCATTCCAATTCTAACTGATTTTCTTCTATTAAAGCTATTTAATACAATGCTGTTTGTCATGTATTACATAATAAATATTTGGCCAGGTGCTGAGTCAGTATTTAAAATATAATTAACTCTTAGGTGCTCAGTGTTTGTTTATTTTTTTTTATTTTTATCTATCTATAGATGTTTTTATTATGCAAATTATCTGGAATGTCTCAGTGTTGCATGTTTTTTTTTTTGTTTACATTGTTTATAATGTATTGAAATCATATTTTAGTATTACACTATACAATCAACAAATATAAGGAATTGGAACTAATGTTATATATTGGTGAAAATGTTTGTAGCTCAAATTTAATGTATATAGAATTAGAGGTATTTGCAATAATGTCCACTCAAACGTGGCATTTAAACAAATAGTAACCATACTTTTACTGCATAATAGGAACCCTTTATTCAAATTAATACAAATACAAAATACACAAACAAAAGTGCCAAAAACATCAAATAGAAATGAACAGCAGTAAACAAAATGTGTCACAAGGATGGAGCTTGATTATATCACACAATCTCAAAGTACAACATCAGCAGTCAAACATATTATAAATGCAACATTAAAGTACTGTATGTTATATAAAGTGAATGGTTCCTTCATTGCATCATAGTGTCAGTTTATGAGACTGGAGTTTTAGAAGATTAAAGTTAGAACTCAAAGTCAGCCTCTGTCATGTCAATGGCCCAGGCAAACTTGTCTCTTTGGCTCTTATTGTAGATTTTTTCTACAGGTACCTCTGTGTTTTTACACCTGCAACAAATGGAAAAAATATTGTAAAATAAACATCAAACAACACAACAAACAGTTAAGGGTCTAATAAGTCGTGAAATCTTTTGTCTTAAAAACAACCTACTGCTAGAATACAGGTAATAGAAGTGGTAGATATACCAGAGAGGCCAAGTGCTTGCACTACAAACATTTTTTTTTAACTCTGAATGTCACAGACAGCAAAGTGGGTAATGACCTGGAAATACATGAATTTGTCTCGGTTATTATTATCTTGTGAATGCAGTGGTGTTGTCCATTTTGGGTCTTTGTAGAACGGTGACTCAGTTTTTACAGAGAGACAGATTCATCAGAAGGTGGGCTTATACTTTTTGATCCAATCCACTGAGCTAACACTGCCTGGACAGGTTAGTCATACAATGCAGGTTGCCATGGTGATCTACCCTGATAAAAAGTGGACCGACTTCATGATACCGTAAAGCCAAAATAAAGCTCCAAATTAGCTGCCTGGTTTAGTAATCTTGCTTTGTGATACAGGCCCCTGGTGGAGGTGGTGCGGTTAGTTCAATTTGAAAACCAAAATTTGTCTGGTTACTCTTATGTAGGTTTGCACATGCAAAAATTTAGTACGAATTAAGTACAAGTGTTTTCACCAACCTAAGAGTCAACGTTTGTATTTACTCACCAAGCCACGCTTATGCGTGGGTCCAGATAGTTGAGCTTTGAGGTACCCAGCGCAATTTGTTTGTTCTCTTCTCTGTCAGTCGCCTGGACCTCCATCTTCAGCAGCTGCTCCTCACAGCGCTTCACTGCTGCCTTCTTCCGCTCCACCAGCCTGGCAGAAAATATTCACAAAAGGCAAGTACAATAGAGTCACACAGTTAACTCTAGCAGAAACAAGACTCCTGATTTGGAAGAGTGTCAATATGGATCCTTTCCACATTCTGAGCAAGCAAAACAGAGTTTGTTTTCATCAGTATGTAGCCTCATTGAGAGGAAGATGTTTATGTAAATAACACAGTGCATCCACAAAAAATAAAACATCCAATGTTGTTAAACAGTCTAGGGATGACAAGCGAGTAAAATAGCAACATCCAACACCAGGTAGTTTTGTACTGAGTACTGGTTTAAATGCAGACTCTATAGGTATCCGTTTTGCTGTCACAGATGGCTTACATTTTTCATTTAAAATTTTCATCTGACATCGAGTAGAACAAAGTGTTCGTTTTCTATGCTTTGCTCAACACAACGTAATGTCTGAAGTCTTAATATCTTGTTAATAAACTTTTTAATCATGAATGCAATACCCACAGAGAAGCAGAGGTCCATATGTGGATGCCTTACTGCACTGCAATGTACAACTATAACCTTGTTTGTAATTGCCTTTTGACTCTATACACAAAGACAAAAAAATTAACAGCAAGGAAGCTCATCACCATGACTTAACAGCAAGGCTACCAAAACAACAAACATCTGTATGATTGCAAATTCAAGAACTTACATTTCCCATGGCTTACAGCTCATTATTCATACTGAAGCAGTTTGTGTTGTGTGTGTTGCTAGGTGCTTAGCCGTACAGGGTACCTGTCTATTGAGTGTGCAAGCATGTGTAGCTTGCTATTTAGTCTACAAAGAGGCGCTTCTATTTTAAGATTGTTGTCAATCATTTGTAATTGTAACAATTTTATTTTTTTTTTTTTTTCCTGACTACTGCATCACTTACGTCTGCAGCTTTGGGTCTGGGCTGCCTTTGGCCTTGGCCTCCTTCTTGGCCTGTTTCAGCTCCGTCTTAGCTAGGGCAAGCTGTTCCTTTCTACCATCAATCTGGGTGGAGCACATTAGGACATAGGTATGATTTTATACATGCATTACCATCAGCTTCAAGCTATCCTTGACTGGGCTATAATGTTCTCAAAAATATATGGTCTCTAGGATTATGCACAGGGCTTCTTTCAATAAAATGTTAGTGACACAAGAACATGAAAAAATATCATTGTCCCCACCGATGCACCGTGTTAAAGTGATGAATGACTGACCAATAAATCAAGTCAAGCCATTCTTACCTTGGCCTGTAGATTAGCCATAGACTGATCAAATGTCTTTGGCGGCGCCCGCTGGTGGTTGCAGAGAATAGCAACTGCTCTGTTAGCCCTGTTGTAGGACAGCAATTTCTCTGCCACATTGTCAGACTCTTGGAGGGTGAGAGAATAGTCATTTGTATTTAAACAGAAACAACCCACTGAGAACACATATCTGACCAGAATTATGCACAGAGAATTTAAAAAGATAAAATCATGCTGGCATCCCTCATATTATTACTGCCCACCCACCATCTGCACCACAAATCTCTCACACACACACACTTTCATTTATTTTATTCAGAACGACATTAGCTTTGTCTATTCTTCCTTGGCTCCACATAACACACACTACAACCACATGTCAGCTTGCAGATTGGTTCTCAGTAGCAATCCAGAAATGCGAAGAGAGTGTGACACTTCTATCTCTGAATGAGAAACTGTCGCAGAGGCAACCAACGGGACCCTGATAAGAGTGAGGCAGAGACGCCCCACACTGGGTACAGTGATAATGTACTGCTGCCATGGCTGGAAAAGCTGACTAACGTCAGGATATCTTAAATCAAACAGGCTAAAAATAAAAAGTGTCAAAAGTGTGGCAGTGTGTTTTATCATGGGACTCCAAGGCACAAGCGGCCAGGTAATGAGACAATGATAAGAGACAGATTGATAAAGGGTTACTGCAATAAAGCCGCTGGTACCTGTCCAGCAGCTGGGTATGAGCCAGTGCTTTATAAGCATGAGTATGTCATACAGCAATTTATGTAATGTTAGACTGTTTTATAGTATAATGAATGTGTGACTTACTGTTTGTGAGCTCTTTGAGCTGCTGCTGCAGGGTGATGGAGGCGTTATATGTCCTGAAGACCTTCGCAGTAAGACCTAGCATTAGGGAACTCAAATGCTTGTTCAGCATGCTTGTCTGCCATGAAGAGAAATGGGGGGCAAAGAGAAACAGACAAAGAGCAACACATTCAACCAGTGTAGTATAGAACAAACACACTGTCATCACAGAACCATTAAGGCACCTATAGCAGCACATTTCCTCTAACACTAGGTGGCACTGTGGCATTGTACCACTGCAGTGTTAAAGGCGTCTGTAATATACCCTAACAAATAAAAACACATAAAATACTATCTCTGCCTTCATTATCATTATCCATTAGAGCAGGGAGATTAAAACAGATCACAGTACTATTTCCCCTCTGACATTTCTCTAGGTATTATAACAAGTTAGAGCTGTCATAGCCAGTGGTTAGATATCCATTAGCTCCTGTCAAATGGCTACAGCTTCAGCTGAACAGCAAAGACGTGAAACAGAGTTAAGAGTGTACAGGCACACACAATGGTTGAAAACAAAAACATGTATGCTCACTGCACACATCCTGATATGAGGGGAAAATATGTGGCAGATAACATTTATAAACAGCAGACAAATGTGAAAAAAAAACTTTGCTGTTGAGCTCACAGCTCTGGAAGAAGAAAAAAATAACTCTGATGAAGATTACAATAATGATGTGGTTCATTTAATCAGAGCGAGGTCAAGATCCAGCTGTCTGGGGCTACTTGTATAAATGAGTGTGTCTCACTGCAGGAGCCTATGAGAAATAGGATGAAGGAGGGTTTTCACATATATACATACGTGTGCATGCATGTGTTGGAGAGCACACAGGTACACGCATCCACACACATTTGTTGTCGTGCCTGTCCTGCTAATGAGCTACCTAACCATGCCCATGCAATGCTAATGATGGTGTCTGCAAGCTTGAGGGGCAGGTATGACAGCTCTCACACCATCAACTCCCTTGCCATGGTGTTTTGTGTGTGCACAAATGTGTGTGTGTGTGTGTATGTCATCCATGTCACCTCCTAAGGCATTATTACAATGTATCATGACTGCACTTCTAATTTCCAATCTATAATACACAATCCTACAAATTGAACTTTCTCATTAACATACTGCTACAGCAATTCTGTGGTGATGGCAACTAATGTCAGAGAGAAATCTTGATTGTTGCCATTCTAGACAGGTTATATTCATCTGCTCTTCATTTTTTACTGGCTCCAATTTGTGTGTTCTCTGCATCAGTTCCCATTTAAAAAACTCTTTTCTGGTTGATGGTGAAAGGGAAACAATAGAGTGGAGGGAAAATAATGAAATTTGCCAAAATAAGGCAGCTCATAGGGACTATACCACTCCGTAGTAATTTAATTCATTTGACTAAGATGTCGTTAAAGAGATCCCGCTGAGGGTACAGTTAACCTGAAACTGCAGACAGTGTGTGTACTGTAGCTCTAATGATGTGGACTCAGGAGAGGAGGCTTCCAGACAAGCCTGACATACACCTGCATTTTAAGCTCAGATCAGACCTCAACATGGGGCGAGAATGCGTGCATGCACTCGTGAACAGACCCACACACACAGGCAAGTGCACACCAACATGTGCTCACCATGGCTGAGCATTTTGCAACCTTATATTGATGAGCGTCATCTCCCTCTGAAATGTGAGTACAATAAAATGTTTGCAACACTGAATGCTAACAGATATTTAAAAACACAGGCCACATCAACATTAAGGATTTTGTCGACTTCAGTGCACATCGTTTCTGTAAAAACTCAATGTAACTGCATTTCTGCACTTCAGTTTGGCATTTTGTGAAGGTAGCCAGAGAGATTACAGAATGCAATGCAGACCACAGGTCCTGTGCTAGTTTTACAAACAACAAATAAAAAATAGGCTTTCCAAGTTCTAATTCATTCTCTATGTGTTGGCAAATATGTCAAAAAAAGTTTTATCAGAATCCACACTTGACAGTTCGCTCACAGTGTAGGTAGTAGTAGCTAGCAGAGCAATATCATTCCGTGGGTACTTTGTTTACATTTCTAAGAGGGCAGGATTATGTTCTCATTTATTTAATTCCTCATCCTCTTCCTCCTTATCTAACAGTACAGGTGATGAAGACGTGGGTGCAGGGCAACAGTCTTTCTACAACTCCATATTTCACTACAGTTCCGTATCATGCCATCTTTGCAAAGCCAAGCCCATTTTTGAGTGATCCAATAAAATTTTAAGGAATTGATATAAATCCCTCTCGTAACTAAACCCCACCCACATATCCAATGTTACTCAAAAATCTGTCACATTGCTAAAAACAAAGACACTCTAACTTCCGTTTGGCTGTAGCTTTAAAGGTTCAACTAAAGTGCTTGTCGGATGGCTAATTAGTGTCTGAAAGTCCCTTGTCCCACACCTTTCTGATGGAGGAATTGAGGGCTTGCATCTGACAATTTTTGAACATTACAAAACCAGCAAGTTGCGGTGTGAAGTAGATGTGCTGATCCACTTCACACCGCAACTGACCAGGTGTGTGGCAGAGAGGAAGCATTTTCACAAAACCGAGTGCAACGCTCTGAATGCTTTGAGGAGAAGCATTCATAAGTGTTTTCTCAATTTTTTCAATTTGCACATCTCTCCCCTATTATTCGAGTATGGTCATTCAAAACAGCTACAGTGAATGGTATATGGTAATTGACCCATAATGACAATGTGAAAACTAAATTTCAGAATTTTATGCAAGTTTATTAAAAAGGAAAAACTGAAATATCACATTGACAAGTATTTAGATGCTTTGCTATCACACTTGAAATTTAGTAAGGGTTCCTTCCAAGTCTCTTGACCATCTTTGAGATGTTTCTACAACTTGATTCCAACCTATGGCAAATTCAATTGATTGGACATGATTTGGAAAGTTACACCTGTCAAAATAAGGTCTCACAGCTGACAATGCATATCAGAGCAAAAACCAAGGCATGAGGTGGAAGGTGGTTCCACTGGTTTCACTCTTCTCATCTTTTGTTTATAAAATCTGAAACTCCTCATTCTGTTACATGTTCACAAGAGAAATTAACATCATGCTCACTAGCCAAGTTAGTTTAGGTCCAAAAATCAGTCATTCAACTCTTTCACTCCCTACCTTATTCATGATTTTCATTTACCTTTTAGCCCCAGATTTCCATTTTTGTCTGTCCTCAGCGCCTTCCACAGCCTCTGTCTGAAATGGCAGCTGAGGATAGCAGCACTCTTTAAAGTTCCATCACTCATCCTCCATCTTCTTCCCCCTCACCTCGGCCTTACAGTAGCTGCCTGGCTGTCACTTCTGATCCTTTATCTCCTCCTTCCCTCCATCTTTCCTCCAACTACCTTTTTCCAGCCATCGTCCACCTTCTCCCTCCTAACCTCCCCTCACCTGGACCAGCTGTCACTTTCCTACCACTCTGTCTACTCACACTCACACTCTGTCTACTACTGTGTGTGTGTACACACATATACACACATATACACACACACACATACACACACACACACACACACTGGCCTGGCCTTTCCGGGTGTCAATCAGGCCTGCCCACAGCAGCCATTACCATTCCACCTCCAACACACCCTGACATTTCCTGACACACTAGAGGGCAGAGAGCAGAGGCACCGGACTCCCTCCTTCAATTGCTCCATCTCTTCATCTCATGCTTTTCCTTCCTGTCAATCTTTATATGCCAACGTGGCTGGCTCTCAGAACTTCCTTTGGCTCTCTTATCTGCATATCTTTCTTCTTCCATTTCATAAGTCCCCTCTCTTTTGATTTGGCTATTCATCTGTTCCCACCTACATACAGCCTTGTCTCTCTTGAGCGTATCATAAGACAAGGTATACCTCAGCAATCAGAGCACTTAACCCAAAGCACAAGCTACTGTAGCCTGGTTTCCACTACAACAATCCTGTATAATTCTGAATGTTTACCTGACCTGAAGGACAAACTGGGATGTAAATTCAAACAGACAAATAATGCAGTTAATCTTGTTTTATAAAGACTGAGAGCAGCCTGAGAAGCCGCACGTCTCCCTGCAATTGACTAACCCCTGTGCACAACTGCTGCATTCTGTGTGGACCTGCTGCCTGCAGTTACGGGAAGAGGTTGAGAGGATGCCAGATTCTTGTGTGGAAATTCATCCATCCAGCATGTTCACTCTCAATTTTTACTTGCGCAGTTTCATTTTTATCTGCCGGAGTCCATCCCCTCTCTCTTTTGAAACTCCTTCTCTGCTTTCAATTTCCCCACTTCCAATATTCGTCCCCTTCTCCTCACCTCCCGTTTCCTCACTTTACCCCTTTCATCTCTCCACACCAATGGCTCATCCTCATTCAATCTCATCTCTTCCGCCTTACAATTTAGTCCCTGCTTTTCCTTTACCGTAGCCTTCTGTCCCCAGAAAACATAAAAAAAAAATGTAATTCTATTTTTCTTTCACAGCCTTTTCTTCAACTATTATGTACCTCAGGGGGGTTTCGCACACTTTTTACACAACCCTGATAAAAAAAAAATTGAAGTACTCTTTTACTTGTGAGCAGTTCTAACCAATACCAAGCATTTCTTTTACCACTTCCTTTGTTCAGCATCATCTGGTAATATTTTATAAAAGCTTCACAACTTAACATCTGAGGTGGCTAGAAAACATGTAAAATACTGAAAGAAAGAAATGTAGAGGCAGTAAGTAAGATACTCACATTAAGGCGGTCAAAGAGGTCATCTCCAGGTTGCTTGTTCTCGAGGAACAGTTTAAGATTCTTAAAAACCTGAAAAGATACATATTTTTATCAAGCCAACCTGGGGTTACCTACTGTGTTGCACTGATAGTTCTGAAGTTTGTGTTTCACTGGAGGACTAAAAAGTGTGTAAATGAGGACATTTGTGTTGTCTTCAGCCAATCATTTATCAGTTATCCAACATTTCCTAACATTACAGGCTCGACTTGGGCAATATTAAATATTTTGGGTGCAAAACATTAGAATTGAAATTACCTTCAATGCATCAATAAATTCAATGTGAAAGGTGGAAAGTGATAGCGATTCTTTGAAGGCTAGCTTACAAGTCAAATCTAAAATATCATAAATATCAAAATTACACACACAGTATAATGCAATTTAGACAACAAATGTAGTGCTGACATTTCCAGCAACTCTGTGGGCTCCACAGATGCACCGTTCCCCAAATAAACTCATAAAATATGCAAGACACCAATTAATAGCAACAGATGTGTTGCTGTATAAAACACACTGACATATTTCACTGTCTGGTTTGTGTGGCAATTTGGTTCCCCCTTGGCAAATAAACTGAAAGTTTTATTTGGGATGAAAATGTAAATCAATATCTGTCTAAAAATCTGTCTTAAGAGAAGCAGAGACACCAAAGTGAGCTTGCCTAATTGGTTTAGTGATGTGTCTGGATGTGTGTGTGTTGAGAATGGAATATTTGGAAAATTTAGAAAAAATGAATAAATATTCAGCAGCATGAATGTACCTGACACAATAAGTTTATGCAGCCACGGGTGTCCACATTCTCTGGGGCTATTTGATAAAGTCATTCGGCGAGTAATAAGTAGGTACTTGTTTTTAAACAATAAACAGATACACTGAGGTACTGATGAATCATTGGCTAAGCATTCAAGGGTGGGAAAGGCAAAGAAAAAAGGTACACAAGTGTTCATATGGATTGCTTATTAATGACCCTTATGTCTTATGGCAATGATATGACTTTATCTTATGGGACATACAGTACTAGCAGTTCAGATCATGCACAGCATGGCTCCACATAATAGCAATTTTTGCATTAATTCCCAGTAGTGTCCTGTGTTCTCTGCATGCAGAACTGTTGCAGAAACTGCAGAGACTACATATACAACATAGATTTAAGCCAAATATATAACCCCAAGTATTAGATTCAATAATTTCATATCCCTCCAGAGGTTTAATATGGAAATTCCTTCTTTCCATCCTTGTTCCATTTTATTCAAAGTGACATTTAGCAGCAATCCCACTGATTTCCCTGGGAATTGATGATGCTAAAATATGCAAGGGACTAATTAATTCTAGCTAATGTGTTGCTTTTGAATGCACTCATTTGAATAATTATATGTTCTGCCAAGAAACAAAACACTTTGGCTGTCAGGTGCTAACATTTCTTTTTCCATCTCTGGAACTGGAGATAGCATGGGCTGACACCAGAGGAGGGCTTGGAAATTTACATATACACACATACACAAATACAAACATACACACATACACAGACACACAAAAACATGATAGCTGTTTGACAGATTGTAGACAAGTAAACAAGATAAAAAAGTTCACACTTTGTTTTCTTCTATTGTGGCATTAGCTAACCTGATCATTGCACTATGCATCATCATTTACTATATCAGATCACTAACAACTGACAAGTTGCTGCAATGCTTAATTACATTATGTTCTTTTATAGCACTACTGCTGTCCTATGAGCATTAGAATATTGTACCCTGTGCAAGCCACCGACATTATGACGGCTTCCAAAAAAGGTTTTTGCACCTAACATTACAATAGAGCAAAGCCAATTAAGCACTCCACTTAAAATGACTTGAACTGATTACATGACATTGTCAATGGATATGTGAAAGCTTTTAACTGATTTGGGGCCAACACAGGCCTGTTTAGTGGGCAAAAAATATATCCATTATTTTCCACGTCAACTGCAGTGATTTTGCTGCAACAGTACACAAAACTATTCTGTATTTCAGCAAAAAGCCAATATGCTGAGTGCAACTGTGAAAACTTTGAAGTGCTGTAAAAATTCAAAGAAAAGCCTCAACAGGTTTCCTGTTACCACACTTTCTTGTGAAAACTTTTGATTGGCAACAGCATGACAGATCTTAAAGAGTCACTCCACAAATTTAACATGTGAATTTTAGTTTACATATTATTAGAAGCACAACTCAGCTCGTGACAACAGTTGTATAATGTCTCCAGTGGCTCCTGAGGGAGCATTACAAAGTTTGAAAAAACAATTTTATGCAAGACTAAATAACACCAACTTCAACCAAATACTTGAGACCATGAACCTACCTGAAGCAACAGTTAACAATGAAATATTGTCTATTACTAAAACTAATGTGCTTAAGGTCTGTTAATCACAGGGCTGTCTAAATTTGATTAAGATATTTGCAGTCTGTACTGTGTGCTGGTTAATCATTTTAAATGAATACAAGCATGCACAAACTCAGCATGGAGATGTTAGGTTGTTCAACTCCTGTAAACTTGCTTTTTAAGATCAGTTGTTCACATGTCCACTGACTCAGTATCCTGTTTTAACCATTTATATTGCCAATTAATCTGCAGCTAATTCTTTTGATCAGAAAAAAAGATGAATTCCTATCACCAGTTATGTCAGCCAAACCTATGTATTAAAGTTGCTACTTCTGACAAGCAGTCAAAAAGCCAAAACTATGTAATGCTGTGAGACAACAAGGAAAGATGATGAATAGCAACGCCAGTTGTTTTGTGTACTTTCTTGATAAATGACTTCAGCTGCTCCTTCAGCACTGCCCCTGACTGAATGCTCTGCCTTCCCGAGACATCTCATCAAAATAGTGTTGTTCAAAGTGAAACTTGCTACACACTGATCTTTGACTTATACTAACACAAGGAAAATAAAATACTGATTCCTAGTATTATACAATACTGCTCATGGAGTTGAAACTTAACCAATTAATTAAAATCATGTCATGATGCTTAGATGCACTGACCAGCTCCAGGTTACAAGGTTAAAAATTCCCCTCCATGAAGATGTAATCCAACAGAAGCAGACTGGAGCAGAGGGACAGTTCAGCAGTTGGAACAGACAGACAAATTAAACCACCACAGCCACAGGAAACCAATCTACAACTGCGCCCTGAGGACATTTCTCAGTTCCCTCTCTGCTTCAGGCTCTGTGCGTATAGATATGCATGCAAGTGACCTTCTCTGCAGGGACTTCTGCCAAAACCCAAAGGGTAAAGCATAGATTATTAGACTGAAATATATTGGTTTGTATTGCAATGAACAGCCCTTATGTTTTGCTGATGTCTTCTCAAATGGAGAATTGGACTTGCCCTGTATGAACTATATTAAGTAACAAAGATATTTACAAAATAGTTTTCAGGTCCAAACAATCTACAAATTAAAAAGGAGGAGAGGATGGATGTGGAGGTGTTCATCAGTTTATGCATCTTTTGTTCCTTTACCTTCCTGATGACAGGGACCTTGTTGTAGTAGCGAATGGAGTCTTTACCCAGGAAGTCGAACTCCACCACACACTCGTTGCCTTCCAGTTGCTCATGCAGAGTGATGTGTTCGACTCGTAGCGAGCAGCAGCCCACTGTGTCTGCCGTCTCTCCTTCCTCCTTCTCATTACCAGCTCTCAGCGCCAGCTTTTTTTTTAGGTGAGAAAATGCAGATAAATACACATCAAATTCAAACGTACACACCAAGCACTTTGACCACCACCTCTCCTATTCCCATAACAAACATGTGCCAATCAAATAAGTACTAAATATATAGGCTCAGGACATGAAGCAGAAATAGAGACCTGCACAGTAAACACAACAAAGCCAAATCGGAATTGAAAAAGTCTTCGGCATGAGCCAAAAGCAATCACACTCTCGATCTATCATTTCACTCAATGCAGACTGAGATAATTAGCTTGGGGTCACGGGTAGAAAATGACTATATATAATCCATTTTCTCATTGTAAAAGATCTTCCATCTAGCTGTGAGAAAAAACAGAAGGAATCAAGACACAATGCATTGATTTCCAATATGTTCACATGGCCCTTGGTGTTCAACCTGAGAACTATGGAGAATCAGACACTGACAAAGGTTTCTTTCTAGCATTTGTGTGTAAACATATAAAACTTGGTATCCTCATTCTTTACATCTTTACTTTTTTTTTTTTTTACAGTTTTGCCCTTGACCATCAACTCAGAACCAGACCTTGTCTATGAAGTAGAGGGCCACAGCTCTCTGACGAGTGCCCATCTCTTTAGACTTGAGATCCTGGAGGTACTGGTTACGGATGTCGTCCACACATGTCTTCAGTTTCCGAGCAACCTCATATTTCTCCCAGTCCTTCTCTCCCTGTGTTGACAGGATGACAGGAAGGAAAAGAAGAGAAAGAGAAAGCAAGAGTGAGGGAAAGATGAGAAAAGTAAACATGAAACAAAGAACTAAAGAGACAAAACTTATTTAATTTATTTATTTAGATCTTCATTATCCACTGTATTGTAACAGTGGCTATGAAATAACAACATGAAGTCATTTTCCTTGAAAAGCATCACATCAAATTGTTTTTCAGTATAGTCATATGGTCATGACACAAATGCAGATTGTTATATCACACAAAAGAAAAGGAATATAAAAACACACAGCTACACAACTATAATGAAAAAATTCTCTATTTTTGCTACTGATTATAGATTGCAACCAAGGAACAATTAAACCCGCCATCAGTGAATACACACACACACACATATTGTCATGGAGACTGAAAGTGGAATAACTTAACCTTTACAGATGAAAGATGGAGAGAAGGAAGAGGAAGAATGAGCAAATGGAAGAGAGAGAGAGAGAGAATGAAAGAAAGGGGTAAGAATAAACGAGACGTCGCACACAAATCTTTTTTAACACACATAACTCAGAGGGATTGCCATTTATACTCCAACAAAACCATTATGGAATTTTAATAGTTCATAAAAAATATTAGGGTCTTTAAATGCAAATATTCTACACTAACAGTTTTGGACCATGATAAACATGCATATTAGGTGCTGTTCTACAATACAAATCAATATTAGAATTACAGCTCTAGTCTAAAGCCAACAGGGTCAGGAACTGTGTTCAAAGTGACACCTTCTGAATTTGTAAGGAAATTAAATTAATGACCGTGCTTCAAAGAAGAGCACAGGTTTGATTTTAAACCAATGTTAATAGGCTATAAATTGATATTTCTACATCACTAAAAAGTTTTAAGTTTATTTGCAAGTAAAGATTTAGTTAAACAATATACTTTTATATTGACAAACGTTTCTGTGGAGAAATGACATTCAGAATCAGCAAACTGAGCAAATTTTTCGTTAAAGTGTTTGGAAGATCCCTAAATATCTACTGTGAATTTAAGACTCTGGTCAAGTGAACAAACAATGAACAACTATATATTTAAGGCCAAGATAGACCAAGCCGACATCAAAGAACTAGTACCAACAAAGGCCAGCTGATCAAACGTATTATGTCATCTTATGTCTTCTGTTGAAAGTTGCACTTTGGACAGGCAGCGACAGTAGCATATTGATAATATGTCTGTTAAAAGAAAAAGTTGCAAAAGACTTTGCTTTTTTTCCTTCCTTTTTCAGTGGCGTCTTGCTTGAAAAAGCAGAGATGAAAAATAAAGCTATGTGGCAAATAAGACAGCTCTCTCTCATTCAACTTGCACTGTTGGCTGAACAACTTCTGGTAAGGCAACTACTCAATGGTGCCGAATACATAGCAAAAATGGTGCTATGGGACAGCACCCTATTTCAATCATAACAAAAGTAGTTATTTGATTCATTGTAAATATACAGTAAACTAAAGTATCTACATTTTTTAAAACTAAACTCAAAATCTATCATGTCTAAAAAAAGACTAAATTTTATAGGTCGTCTCCCAATTACAAATGTTGACCATTTTCTGAGAAAGACTGTTATGGTTTGATTTTATGAATGTGTTCTTTCTACCTTTCAGGCAGTGACAGGTCTCCATTCATGCCAGTGTGATATGCTTGAGATGCATAATCCCCCACGTTTAAAAACATGACATCTGTCATTGTTGTCAAAGCTAAATTTTTGTTAAGTGGCAAATTGTTGAGTACGAGGACTGCTAAAGCAACATTTGACTGATGGTGCATCCAGGTGCTTGTGGATGAATATATTTATCAACTGACTGTCAACAACGGATTAAGTTTTAAAAAAGTAAAACTGGTTGCAACTTTTTTGTGACTAATGTGCCTGTGTCTAATTAAGTCGGAGCATTTTCCCTGTTTGCAGCAGGCTGACTGGCTTGAGTTACCTTGAGTTTTGAGTTGGCATTGAGCATGATGTATTTAATGGAGCCCTGGATGTTTTCAGTCCAGCTGGCCAGCCACGTCACTGTGTTGTCATGTCGTACCTCCTTCCAGTGGTGACCAGCAGGCGGCACCGGGACACATGATTCTCTGTCAGAGCAAGAAAATTCAGTTACAGCATTGAAGTATAAAGGGGGGGGGTCTCCTGAACATAAATATGTGACACCAGTACAGCCTTGCACAACAGGCAATGAATAAGTGATGCATAACAATCATTCTTGAGTGACGTGCTACCTCAAACCATATTCCAGAGGTTAACTAAAGAAAATACATTCTGTGAAGCTGTGTATTATCAATACATGTGCAGCTCTATTGCAATCCCAGAAAGGTGGTAAATGTACATTTTGAAAAGATTGAAGTGATTTCTCTATGAATCCAAACTTTTAAACACTTTGTGCATAGAGGTCTTGCTTGGTGTATTTATAGCAGCTAGGATGATGGATTTTTCATCAGGCCAGCCTTTACTTATGCATCAGTACGATGTCATAATCCCACTCTCACTTGCTGCAGTTGATGATGACATCCTCTGGCTGGATCCTTTTCTTCAGCATTCCCTGTTTGGGGTGTTCGCCTCTACCCCTGAACAGCCCTGGAGGCTCAATCTTAAAGTTGCCTATACGTTCTTTGTGGTGGTCCAGCAAACAGTAGCCATACTCATCCACTATCTTCTGATTAGCTTCTTTCAAAACCTTCAACAGATATAAAGCAAAAAATCAGTTATTCAGAACCTAAATGACAGCAACAGCACAGAAGAAGAAAAAAAAAAGCCAGAGCCTTACCTGTTTCTCCTCCTTGGTCATGTTTTTCCTGGCCTCCACCTTGGCTTTATGCATGGCATGAATGTCTCCAAAGTTGCATTTGTCAAGATCTTTAATCAGTGACATCTCCTCATGGGTCATTTCCTGAACAGGCACAAAGTGTGTTACACTGAAGTGTGTTCTCCTCTTGAGTCAGCATATAAATGGTCATATCCTTAAAACAATTAGGAAATTAACCAGTAAAAATTCTGAATATCAATTTATCTTTTCAGTCATTAATCAAACAGAGAGGAAAAATGCCTCTGGGAAACTGATGGGCATTTTTCACTTATTGACATACACTGACTTTTCTAAGTTTATTAAATATACATATATATAAAAAAAAAAAAAACATTTAACCAATCTATCTAATCTATAATGAAAATAATCCATAGTTGCAGCTTTAATAATCCAAGATGTATGATTAACTGTCTTTGCCACTTTGAACTAACTGCATCAGTGTGAAGAATAATAAACATACATAATAGGGGTGTAGTGATTCTGAAATTGTACTTAAAGTTGGGGCAACCTGAACTGAATTTTGTAAATATTACACATTACACTCATTTTATTGTCTTCCAATTGTGTGTGGCAGTTTAATTAGCACAAAATGGACAATAACATTAAGATTGCAGATCCCCCCTGGCATATTCAAGTCAGCGGTATGGGAACATTTTGGAGGCGGACAGAAAAAGAAAAAAGTGGTGTCGTTATGGCCAGAGCCTAGACGGTTTCCTCCTAAGAAGGCCACTACCAAGCAGGCAACACAAACACTGCTGACACTACAGTACACTAAAGGCAGCAACACCAGAACAACCGAGTTTCAACTGTCGACTTTCTAAAGTTATTGCACAAGCGGTCACCCCATCAAAGAGGTTACTAACAGGCCAGCAATACAGTGCGACTCAGTGGAGACTTTATGATTCATCTCAGTATTTTCTGGCGTTAAAATGTCACGACAACATGATGGCTTTTAATATGGCCTCATGCTGTCAGACGAGAAAGCTATTGCTACATGAACTCGAGGACAACATTTTGAGGACGATCTGCTCATATACACCTCATGGATGTGATTTTTCAAGGTCACACTGGCCTTGAGAGGCAGAACATAACAGTAAACAATGAAAAGGGCCTGGACATCTAGATCTTTCTGTCATCAGTCATCACTACAGCAGTGCTCCTCAAAAACAGGGCAGTAACCCTAATAGTGATCATATAAAAACATAGATCATAATATAAGCAACTTAAATGGGTTAGCTATTCAGCACACAAAGGGCATCTGACCTCAACATATCCACTTAGGATAAAAAAATGACTCATTTATCAAGCTTTTTAGAGCACCACCAGTCCAGTTTTGTTATCTAGGGTCATAGGAGATGAGACGTCAAAACAGACCTCAAGATCAGCACACATGCACAAACACACACACACACCTCTGTGCAGACACACACTGACAGTGTGGACAGGCAGTCAGTCTGCATGTCTAAGCATGACTGACACCCGACAGTGGGCGGGCACTGAGGGCAGTGGAGCGAGGAGAGTTTTTTCCGGCTATAATAAAACTGTTTAATTGGATTTGTTCATATGCAGGGGAGCTACTTGTATGGATTAGCATATCAATGCCTTCACACAAATCGTATTTTCAAGTGCATTGAGCACTAAGCAGCGCAAAATTAATTCTGCATGATATGCCTTGGGGCTTGGCACAGTGTTTTCTCTATACAGAGGACACCCTGACAGACACCAGCATCCATGTACCAGTCACACACGCAACACGTACTTTACACACATATATTCTACTATTTACACCACACAGATATTCTAACACAAAGCTGCAACTACAGACAACTAATACTGTAAACGGATGTTATCAAGAGAAAGTTTCTGCAGCTGACATTTGCAGAAGCTGACACTTTTGATATGTTGTACTTTTATGCCAATGTAAACATTATTCCCCTAAAGTAACAGTAAACACAGTAAAGACCCATGTACACAGCAAACTAACCATGACTGACAAAGCCTCCAGCCATCATCGCTGTGGCAGCATCAGGGGAAATGAGACTGGATGAAAACCACAATGGTTCACATTCAGAAATCTGACAAGACTGTTGTTCAGCATGGGAATATCTTATTTGATTTTTTAAGGAGATTGTTTTAATGTAACTGTCAAAGTCACTTAATTTCACTTGTTGATTTTAGTTTTACTACTAGGAATAAAACTCTGAGGAACAGGTATCAGCTCTGAGAACCAATTATTTTTTTCCTTCCAAAACTGAAAAGATCCATGATGCCTTTTGGCTTTACCTTCCTCCAATCTTTAAAGAAGTTCTCCCTGAAGACCTTTTTGGTGGTGTACTCGTGGTCCAACATCTGGGCAAAGAACAGCGCCACCTCCTCAGCTGCCAGGCTCAGCTTCACCTTCTTACCTGTATACAGACAAACACAAGCACACGACTTCAATGATTATTTTTTTGGACAACATTTTTATTTGTCTATCATTAATGCACTCTGTCCTCAATGTCCTAGAGGTTTAGCAGAAGCTAAACAATGAAAATTAAAATAGCACAGCATGCAGCTTGTCCACTAGTCCCAATAGTTCACTTTTATACCTTTGATCAAACTCCAGCATGCAATAACACCCACCTCAGCTTCTCTAGAGTCCTGTCAGAGTAATCTATGAATTTAAAGAGGTAGGTTTAGAGACAAGGACAAAGATCTACATTCAGCCCTGCGACTAAGAGTGAGGTACAAACAAGTACATGCACACACAGGAATTAACAGATCAAACCAACTCCCCATAGGACACCGTTGTGCCTTGACTGCTAAACAAAGCAGAAACAATTACAGTCATCAATCAGTGTTTGACCCAATACACCTTTGGTGTCCTAAAGATGTGTGTCTTGCGTGCATTAACAACTGAATTGGGAGGGCTGTACACTGGCATTATTAGATTTACTTCAAAGAACTCTTTTGTTTTATACACAACTTTGTCCACTGTTCCTCGTCCTTGGAGCTTGCACTCTGTTTGGTTTTAATTTATAAGATTCATATTTGAGAATCTAATTTTAAAGCATCTCTACGAGTGTCTTGTGATTTTCCAATATTATTCACCCGTTCCCTTTTCAAGTGTTCCCAAATATACTGAGAAGGTTTCAAGGTCATGTTACTGTGGTCGTGTGACTGGAGGGAAAGCTATGTAATTTAAACACTCCACACTTTTTCTTGAACGTCATACAGGCCTGGCGTTCCATTAGTGGATGTTTAGGGTTAGGTGTCCCGCTGAAAGATGACTCTTCCAAAGAACGAAGCCAGAAAGCATTTCATAGGAGTGATACTTCAGACTTAAGCCTTTGCACTTATTGCACTTAAGCTCTGGAACAACCTACTTGAATAATTCAGACTTGAGAAATCACTATCTTCTTTTAAAGACTTCTGAGGGCATTTTTTTTTTTTTTAAATCAACAGGTTTTCATATGATTTAGACTATACAGTACAATTACAGTGTTGTAATGGTCCATCTCTCAAAATTTTTCAAAATGATGGATTCTTTACTTATACTTGCTGTCAGTTGTTTTACAAATTTCGAAATATGTAAAATACATTTACATATGTGTTATGTGCTTTCTGCTGTTGTTTTCTGCTACTTTTTAATTTATCTTAAAAGATTTCTCCACAGACCCATCACTGCACTCATATAACATCATTAGACTAATGTTTGACAGTTTACAAAAAAAAAAAAAATCTATGCAGCAGTACCAGAGATAGTCTCACCCCCCACTAGTATTACACTAGTAGGGGCTAATGTAGCCTGGAGTCTCAAGCAGAGATGAGGAGCGGGCCACAGGTTTGGTAAACTCAGTTCTTTCAAACGCCACACCTCCCAGAATTTTTTCATTTTCAAAGTCTTAGGACCCAACTGACGCCGACTAAGGTGTCATCACCTGAGACAATTTAGCAAATTTTGCTCAGGGTCTTTTTGAGCCACAAATGTCCTTTATACAACTTTTTCCCATATGCAGTTTTACTTCACAACACCTGTCAAACCGTAGTGCATGATTTTTCTGAATGTACTTAGTAGCTCATTATTTTTAAATTACTGTCATAAGAGGAAAAATGTGGAATGTGTCAAAAATAGCTTGAGTAAAACCCTTTCACAACTGTTTTAATCACCCTTTCTCATACATTCAACTTTCACACTCAACTGACCATCGTAGTAAAAGTGAACGTTGTCAGGTAGAGACTGGTAGTCAGGAGGGAAGTAGGGTCCTTTGTGTTCCAGGAACTTCCATTTCACCCCATCTTCATACTTTTCTTCTTCCCACCTGACAGAAAGCAATATAATGAAAATATGAGGATGTATCTGAGAAAGTGAAAACTGCTCCTCTCTGCATTGTATTTGATTGTCTGTGTCTATGTCTGTGTGTGCTGGGGTGTGGTGGATCCAGATCAATACAAGATGGAAAAAAAAAAAAACAGCATTTCAAAACCATCGCCAGCGATTCTGCTCCTCCTCCTCCTTCTTTTTGATCTTCATCTGTCTTGCCTCCTCAATCTCCTCCTTTGTCCTCTTAGGTTTTTTTGAGGCTGAATGCTCTTCTTCCTCTTTCTTTACCAGCTGTGCCGAGAAAAACACATACGATATGAATTCAAACACTCCCACATTGAACCACATCCCCAACAAACTTCATATAGCAGAAGTATTATTGATGACGACAGATTACCACAGGAAGACATGTTTACCTTTTCTGTTCTCTTCGTTGACTTCTTTTTCTGCGCTTCTCCATCAGTTTTGTCTTCCTGCCCATGTTGCTTGTTTTTTTTCTTAGAGCTGAAGGTATCCAGAGACAGAAAGAATGCTAACGGCTTATACAATACAGAAAAAATGACAGGTGAAACTACTTGCCAATCCAAGTCTGACCTGGTCACACTTACGTAGGTGTGGCAGTGGAAAGTGAAGGGCCTTCCATGGGCTCATCTTTAATTCTTTTCCTTTTCAACCCCTTCTTCTTCACAGTAAAGTCCTCATCCTCTGGCTCCTGTTTCACCAACTTGCTAAACCACAAAAAGAAGTGTCAGAGTCCATATGAAATTGACGGAATTAGCACAAACAAATACTTATTAACTGTTTTTTTGCTCTAATTTGTCTTAGGAAATCCGACTTAAAATGTTGATTTTGAATTAGCCCCTACTTAACAAGCACATACAAAGATAGAATAAAAGCTTAATGGTTTCTTTTAACTGCTGTCTGACAAATTCTTGGCTAAAGACAGGACTAAATTACCCTTCTATGCGGAATAGAGAAAAAAAATCCTAGAGCACACAATGATGATTCATTGACCACAAGAAATCACACATAATTATGGTTATTAAACAACATTATCGAAACAGCAATGATATTGACGTAATCACAGGGATTAGAAATTAAAAAATAATTACACAACTGCAACCTTGGATTTCCCTGCAGAGTGAGGAATTGATGGGTAGGAAAAGGTGCCAAATTAAGAAATCAACAAATCAGTGTCACCACTGTTAATAAATAACAACATTCCCATTCTTTCACATAACATTTAGTTAAAAGGGAAATGGGGAAAATGGAAAGCACTGTAGTACAAAACTGGAAGTGGCTTACTGAATCCCAATTACAAGCCGTTGTGTTAGCAAGCACCTGATATGAGCCTAATGCACTCTCTCTGCTCTTCTACAGTGTGATCCCTGATGGCTTCTGATTGAGGATAATGTGCCTTCTCTCACTCTCTCACGTGTCACAGTAGTAAAAGTACAGGTATAAACTAGAATCACCACCTTGTCATTGTATGCCTCCAACAACTAGCTGCAGGAAATATGGTCACAATCTCCCCTTCCTGAATTACAGCATGAAATAATGGCCAGAGTGTTTTTGCAGAACATCATGATGTCACAATGAGGTTGGTCCTTGGCCAATTGGATATAAAATTTCATCACTTTATCATTTTTTCCTTTTAGATATTTGTGTTACATGGTGTCATAATTGGTTTATGAATTTGTGAGTTATACCAAAAATGTGTTTTATGAGTTCACAGTGACCTTGACATTCGACCACTAAATTCTAATCAGTTAAACTTGAGTCCTAGTGAATGTTTGCCTCAGATGATGAATGAATGAAGTTCCCTCTGGGCGTTCCTGATATATTGCATTCACAGGAATGTGAGGTCATCTTAACCTTGAACTTTGACGACCAAAATCTAATAAGTCCGTCCTTAAATCCAAGTGAATGTTTGTGCCAAATTTGGAGAAATTCCCTCAGGCATTACTGAGATACCACATTCATGAGAATGAGATGGACAGATGGACGGACAACTCAAAAACATAATGCCCTGGCTGTCAACAGCGCATAGGCATAATAATAAAACTGGTGTCAGGGTCCCTGTAATGTACTGGCTCACTGTCACACCGGAAGAGAACTGAGCCATTATTCATTTTATTAGGAACACGTGTGCCGAGTCTGAAATCACTCATTCACTACTCTCTACAAATTTGTAGACATTTTATTGTCAGCATCTTGATATAGACAGAATCTGCTGCCTTGCACTTTTTTCAACATAATGGCAGAATGACCCTTTGAAGTCCAGTCCTTCATATTGCAAGTTAGTAGAGAAGAAAACAAGGTTGCTCTCTACTAAGGGAGGGATGATAATCACTGACCTTTACCTGCTTTACACTACAATTTCTTTAATCAAACATCACACTGTCATTTTAATCATTTTTTGACCTTTGCATTTATCCAGCACGTCAAGTTCGATTAAACTGTGAATATAAATTCCAGCCCCTTTTGCCATGTATGCTTTTTTTCTTCCAGCAAATGCTCACAGGAAAACCTGCACAGTAAGTGCATGGAAACATAATGAGGGACTCCTGCCCTAACTACAGTTATGCTACACAAACACTGTGCTTAGTCCAACTTCCACGACATTCTTCATGAAGACATCATGCTGACAAAACAAAACTTCTCCTGTACAGTCCAGACCATATGTGTTTCCACACTTAAACATTTTTTGTTCTTGAGGCTCTGGGCTTCAGCACACTCAAATTGAAATTAAGTAATGGACACTACAATTGAGTGACAAGTCTCAGCTTTAATTTGAATAGGTTACATTATTATAGACAGAACTGTGTGTGAAATCCAAAGGATGCAAACGATTTTTCAACAAAATATTAAATATGATCATATAGTTTCACTTCATGTGTGTCTGTCCAATTAGTTTTGAACCCCTGAACTTTGGGCCGTCTGTGTTAAAAGGGCTAAATTCCCCACACAGTTCTTTCAACATTGACATAAATCTACTCAAATTAAAGCTGAGACTTGGCACTTTAATGTATTATCCATTACTTTATTACAAACTAAATGTCCTGAAGCACAGAGCCTGAAGAACAAGAAATGTGCAACTGTGCAAGTACTTTCAGTCTGGACTGTGAATTGGTCTATTAATGCCATAATATAGCCATAAATATATCCATAAGGACAGAATTGGTTCCATTAGGTTCCCTTTGCATAAAGCTTTGGGATTTAGGGATTTTTAATGTGACAAGTAAATGCAAAAACCCAACTGCCTGCCTGCAGGTGTCACAATGTGTCACAATCACAAATTACTGTTACATTAATGTTCTTAACCTTCGCAGTAGGCAAACTACCTGTGAGCCAAAACTCTTTATATATTCACTATAAATAACATATATCGGAGAAGTCTTTGTCTAACTTTCTGCCTGTTCTGTTTAGTTTTTCTTTTAGATTACTTTGCACTGTGTGCACTGTGGCTTAGCTGTTAAGTTCAACTGCTCGATGTGGAAAGAGAAAAAAAGGGTGTGTAAAAATGGTCGTGTTTTTTGGTATACTGCACCGCTGAGCAAAATCCATAAAAAGCTATACAAAGGAAGGTGGGTCACTGCGTCCATTGACATTTACGGTCAGTGGTTCTAATAGCCTTATGTTTCTTCCTTAACTCTGCTGCCTTAACTTTCCTCCCTACATGAAACCCACTCAACTAGCGCAGTTACCACCTGAGCCTTTCTAAAGGAAAAAAACCCTAAAGGGAGACATTAAAAGCCAGAATTTAGCAAAATAGTTTTTCCAAGTGACATCTCCTTTGAAATGTCACTCGTTATATTGGGTTGGGCTAACTCCGCATCTGGGATACAATCCATTACCAACTGTATAGAAACACTGCTGTGAGACAGATTTGACGCAGCAGGCCTTCGGCCAAAGTCTGCCATCCCAGCAACACCCTGCTGAGCATCCAACTACTCAAACCACGCATTCTCATTTATTACTTTCCTGACAAGCCACAGATATTTGTCTTCAGTGCACAGTAAAATTAATTTTCTGTGAGAGCTTAACACATTGTATAAAATTGGACCGGCTTCTGTCCAGGGCCCTTGAACATCAAAACACAAGAATTAATTTCCATCACCTCAGGAGGGAAGAGGAAAGAGGAGAAGGAAAGCGGAGAAAAATAAGATTTCTGGCACAATTGCTCCATAGTAGCTTGTCAGCAGATTATTTTACCCTTCAATAATCTTAAATCTACTGGCATTAAGACTTCATCCCTACCTGGGACTGTTGGCTGACTCCAGGGTCTCTGTCTTAGGTGTCTTGACCTGAGGGAAGGACATGCATAAAGCTTATATAACACAACATAACTGCACTCCAAGCACACCACAGCTGGCCCATGACACTGTGCATTGTAACACACTAACTTCTTGCATATAAACAAATTTATGCAAGTGTTCAAACATTCATACAACCGCAAGATGTCGTATCATATCTTCAAGGACTCCTAGTGTCTGAATAATGTACCATTTTGACTCATGAAACATATAAAAATATCAGGCAAAGTCTTTCATCTTAGGCTCTTGATAAGAGGGTAAGAGTCTAAGTCAATCAACAGGAAATGAATCCATTTTCATAATCAATTCATCAAGCAAAAACACAACTCATTCAGTTTCCAGCTTCTCCAAGGCGAGAATTTGCTGTTTTACACTGTTTGATATCATTGTAAACTGAACATCTCTTGGTTTTTTTAACTGCTGCTCAGACAAATCAAGCTACTCCAAGACGTCACCATGGGTATTTTCCACTATTGTCTGAAATTTTATACAAAAACAATATTATGGTTTATTGATTGAAAAAAGAACTGGCAGATTAAATTATAATGAAAATTATTTGTAGCCAGAAACATAGCACCGTGCTGTGGAGTGGGAGGCAGTACAATGATTATTAAATGAACTTGTGTTATCAGATAAATTGTGTTACCATTTAAACACTGTAATCAAAACACTGCCATAAAATAATTACTTCCAACAGCCTGGGTATTGGATGCATAAATATACTCAGCCGATGTTGTGGAAATCCAATAGCAGGGAGGGATCCTACTGGGACAAGCTGTTGTAGTGTGGCTATGTCAGTCTGAGTTGGGGTCAGTAGGTAATAGGGGATGGAATTTTTACCCTGGAACTTAATGCTAATTCCACAGAGGGCAAGAGTTATAGATGGACTCTCATGACACTCAGTTGGTCAAGATGACAGTGTAATCATCGGGTCAAATTTTGGACAGATGTATCGTTCAATACAGAGGAGAAGGAAGAAAATAAGTGATTTACCTTGTTTTTAGACTTTCCATTATCAGCTTTCTCTGTAGATTTAGTTGGCTTTGCGCTGCACATCAGGGCGTCAAGATGTTACAGGAATGACAATGAGAAGAAGAGGAAAGGCTCGTTAGTGATGCAGTATTTGTAACACATGAGCAGTTAGGGAAAATAGTACAACTGCAAGAAAAAAATTAATAAAAAAAATCAGCTTTCCCTGTTACTGTGACATGACTGAAAAGGCCTCTTAGAGACAGTCTGAGCTGCACTTTTCAAGTGCAGGCTTAAAGTGAGAGCATATTAGGCTGATGTTAGATTCATGTCTCTGTCTGGTTAGTATCATTCTAGTCAGACAATGCTATAAAATGCCACCAATTAGACAAGCAGTGTCCCAGAGGTTTTCCGTACAGCTTTGAACATGTTTCATTTCAATTTGACCTTTCCAGCCTTCAGGGCTGAATTTATCATGGAATTGAGCTGCAATTATTTTCCAGCTATGTTCATTTTTAATTCAGAAATCCAAATTTTGATTTTGGCAATAAAACAGTTAAAGCAGGAGGCACTTTTATGCTAAGGAAAATTAGTTCCATGAGTCTTGCAGCTGGGGATGATAAGTCGATGCTTAATCAGTAATTCAGTCAGTGTGCCATGAAATAACATGAGCTGTCACAGAAAACTGCCTGCTTACTGCCAGTAGCGCATACAGGTGTCTATTCATCTCTCTGCTCTCATCAATTACACAAGCCAATGACAGATCACTCCACATTCATTTGTCTGTTCACATATGCATGGTAATAAACGCATCAGATATCAAGGTAAATTAATTTATTCATATGAAGATGGAGTACCCACTGTACTCAGTGAAATTAATGCACACACTTGATGCCATCAGCCTCCTAGACAGATCAGCCAGCATAGCATTCTCTCAGTAACAGTTTTGTGTCAGTCCTTTAGTAGCACATACATACTGCCATATTGCTCTCACTCTCATCTGATTTATCACCATTGAAAGTATTCGTTTTTATTTTATTTTTTTATGCAAATTAATTTGTCTCCACATTTCAGCAACATGAAAGGAATTGCCTCTTGCTTGCTCCATGCAAAAACCAGCTTTGATGTGTGGCTTGTGTTGATGGTGAACAGATGTTGGATGTAATGTAGTCAGGCCACATGCATATATTATTAGAGAGCTGCTCTAACTTTGTTCTTATGACAGGGAGTCACTCAGGTAACTTGTTTGATAATGGCACTTGACTCGGCCTTGAGGGAATAATGATTAACTGCTAGCTAAACTGTTCCTGTCAGCAAACATTTTTTTTCTATCCATCTTTCTTTCTTTCTGTTCCTCACACGTGCAGGCGCACGCGCGGGCGGGTGGACACACACACACACACACACACACACACACACACACACACACACACACACCTGTTCATGAGCGTATCTCCCCCAGCACCGGCGCTTGCATGATCACTCAGCCTTTTCAGTTTCGTTGCTTTGTGCTTGGCCTTCCCTTCTCCTTTAGCGTCCTTCTCTCTTCCCATCTCTCACATGGACCTTAGTGGAGCAGTGTACATTAACCGGTCAGAAACAAACGCATTTAGTTACAAAATGAAAAATCAGGATTCACAATATTAAAATGTTAACCGTCCTGGAAAGCTTTGGCCTTCCAAGTTAGCCAGTTAGCTAGCAAACTTCAGCCAACGCGGGCAGAATAAAAAAAAAACTGACTTGAATGTTAGCTAGTTACCACTATTAGTGAGCTAATTACAATTATCTCTTATTCCGCATCGGGGTATCAAGTAAAAAAAATGTAGTACATAGCTAGCCTGTAAAACTGTATGGTATCAATCGACTTGCTCACCACTTTTAATGTCGGCAAATATTGGGTTATTTTTCGAGTGAAATACAAACTATTGGGCGGTTAAATTCGCTTGATTTACAGGGCGCGGTCTCGCTAGATTTTTGCCTTTTGCTCGCATTGACCTGCACTGGCGTCATTTCAAGTTGAATTCTGATTGGCTGAGGAAGTTCTGAGAGTTGCCACGTTGCCACGTTGCCAGGTTGGGTGGTGTTACGCCAAATTCTATAACCCGTGCGATTCTGGGAACTGTATTGATAGGAACATGCATTGTATTGTGTTCAGGTGTTGCAGAAATGACTGGTTGGGGTCTCCCAAACACTTGACTTCTCTGTGCCAAAACTTGAAAGGAACTGTGCTGTGATCATTTAAATTATTATATGGATTGGTTTGGCAATGGTGTTAAATGTTTTGTAACTTGGATGGATGAGGCATCTTGATATTGACTGACAAAACCTCTATCATTGTTTCTTTTGCCTTGCACTGTGCAGTATTACTGTTTGGAAAGCAAAAATGTATTGTGAACTGATGTAGGCCATGTGTGTAATGAAACCAGTGGCAGAAGTAGAGAATATTAGAAGTGGAAGTGCAAAGTTGCACTTAACAGGAGTCAATCAAGCAAATCTCAAGCACCACTTGATTTAATGACCTCAGTTTAGCTCCTGATTAACCTCTTGTCTTGACACAAGTTTATTTCACTCCAGTCATTTGGTTTGTGTTATGGCAGTGCCATCACATCCCCTCTTCAAATCTGCAGTATTTGACCTCACTTTCCCTGCCATTTCTACAGAAAAATCTACTCTTTTTTGTCTTCTCAGCCCACTTTTTACCGAGGCAAGGCTTTATCTCCATCAGCCCCACTTCCTCCCAGGCCCAGAAGATGAATACTACTGCATAGGCCATATTTGGCTGTTGTTTCAAATTTCAGCTAACATCTGTATCAAAACTATGTTGTTTTAGCAGACAAGACCATTGTTTTATACTAATGCTTCCAATAATCAAAAAATTGATCTTTGCTCTCTTAGTGCTCTTCTAGTTTTAGGCTGAATTTAAATCCAAAATGATACAATCATAATAATTATATTTTTTCTTGTGATAATTGTATTCGTGTCAGAGTAGAAACCTTACTGTATAAGAAATGAGACAATATTACAAAATTCCTCATTAAAAACCATAATAATTAGGCTACAATAGTTTTGGTTAGTGGCATCATATGACTCAATATTTCATTATTTCAGCAAAATCACTTGACAACCAAAAGACAGGAAGAAAAAGGACATTTTTAAACGAAACAGTATGTAAGGTAATTGCACTTTACAGGCTGTTTTAGAGTTGGTGGCGAGATAGAGTGGCTCATATATTCTGAATATCAGTTTACAGGGAGGCAGAGCAAATATTATGAAACAATATAGGTCAGATGCTTGATGTTTTTACATCGGATGATGGATTCCAATCGAAGAGGAAGTTTTAACTTCTTGGAATAGTGCTGTACAGAGAAGCCTTAAATGTATGTGCCCATGGAGGTCCATGAAGGGGAACTGCAGAAGGTTGTCAATGCAGTTTTTTTCTTCAGAGGCTATTGTATTCTCAAAGGCAGAAATAAGATGGGTGTAGGCCAATAAAAAATTCATATATGGGCTCCAGAAAGAATTTTACAAAGGCCTAAGATGATGGGGAGCAAACCTTGAGCTACATATGGTGCTTACACCAACACATAGATGCCCAGGAAAGTGTCTGATGCGGAATATAAACACAGTTAAGGTTAGATTATAGTAGCATAGAGGCTAAAAAATGTAATCAAAAAATGGTTGTTGCACTGTGGTGTGTGTAACTGTCAGTTTGCCTGTAAAAACCTTTCTTTACTGCATTTACACAAAACTATGGTGGTTTTAAAACTGAAATAATGAATATGAATGCCAAGGACTCAGATAATCCTCATGAACAGCATGCAGATCTATTAGGGATAAATATAGAAATCTCTTTCCAAAAAGTTATACAGTCTGTGGATAGTTAGGGACATGGAGGGGAACATCCAATTAATTTAGATGATTGATATAAAGTTAGGATCTGAAGAAAAATGTATTTATACATGCTCACTGTACATGCAACTCATAAAATAATAACATAATGCAGGGCAGTATAAAAATAATTTAATTATCATAAAATAATATAAATAGTTTATAAAACATCAAATCAAACAAGGTATTCAAATGACAGTATTATTATTGTAGTATTACACAGTATTCAGGGATTTGTCCAGTCAGTGAGCTGTACTGCAAAGGAGCTTTATTGATAGTGATATGTTATTTTTTGTTGATTGTAAGTCATTTTCCCTCAAGTATCACCATGTTTATCCCTAAGCTTAAATACCAAAAAGATTTCAATATCTGGTTTTGTTCTTATAAGGAGTGGACCTGTCATGAATAAGTCTAACCTTCCAACCTTCTAGCTTGTTGCCATAGCAGCTTTACTGTCTCTTTAAGAGACCCGGAAACGATTCCTCCTGTGTGTTCACTGGTCGCGGGTTCCAGACAAACAGCTGAGCTCTCCCCCTGCGATGATATCCCACCCTGTTATCTGGGGCTTTCGTGGCAGCGTGAGGTGCTGGCGACACCGGGCTGTCGTCAAAGCGGCTCTTAAGGCCTCGGACATTAGCGGTTGGCGCTGGTACTCTTCCCCAAGTCGTGTCGGTGTCACGGGCATGGAGGAGATACTAGCGAGGGTCGTCGTACCTTTACCCACATACGAAACGAGAGATAAATCCCCCCCTCCCCCTGAATCGAACAGCTTGGACTTCATGCACTTCTACAAAAGTCTGGACAAGGAAGACAGACTCGGTTTTCTGACGAAGCTGTCGCAAGACTTCGGTGTAGACCATAAAAGCGTTTCAGAGCTAGCTGTGAAGTTGCTAGACACTCAGCTACGGGACTTGGCGACTATTTTGCAAGTTGAAGACAGGCTTCGGTACACATTGACTCCCCGGTATAAACAGCTTCTTAATCATATAAGCAGGGTCGATGGTGGGGTGAAGTTTCTGGTGGATCTCCGAGCCGATGTGCTTGAAATCATCTCATCAAAAGCTAGCGAGAGCCCACACATAAAGGTAATGCATTTGTTTACATTTTCGACGGGTGCTGGCATGAGTCAAGCAGTGCGCGCTAAGACATTTGGCGCTGTTGCCTAGCTGGGCCTGAATGCTGAGTGATTTAAGGACATTGATTGTGGGCTATTGAGACAATATTAACTGTTGGCTGAATACAGCCAGCTAGACAGAGAACCCACACAGGCCTAAACTGACCCTCTTGCTTTGCCCCCCATCACATGGTTCACATTTCATCACATTTTAAGTGTCAATGACCTTTGCTCCAGTTTACCATTCATACCAAACTGGAGGAACTAAATTAGATTTTTTTTCAACTTCCTCAAAGCTTAAGGAGTTTTTGCAAACAGGTTAGACAGAACTAGTTTGGCATAAGACAATGTCGAGCTCCATTTCAGGGCTTCCTTTATATTTTCTGCATGTCTTGGTTGAACAGATTAACTTACAGTACTGATCGGAGCGGGCTTCTACTCCTGCTGGAAAGCTCTTGTGTTAAAATAGACTCAGACCCAGTTTCAGACTATACATGAAGAGGCAAGAGTCTCAGACTCAAATGCAGCAACAAGGTGAGAGAGGTGAATATAAATCAGGCATGTAATGAATATTTTGAATGAACCATTGAAGACAAAGTGAAAATAAAATTGAAAGGAAAGGCAGTGAAAAAAAACTTGAAAATGTCCATCACACACATTCTTGGCTCTCATGCTCTTTGTCCCCTAAATGACACATTTTTGGCAACTTATTTTACAGCAAAGCCACCTGTCCAGTTTCATTCACCTCATTGTTCAGTCATTCATGTTCAGTCAGATGTTATTACAGTTTTCAGTTCAATTCAGCACTGAAATGTTGCTGTTTCTGTGCACACTTTGAAATAAGAGTGGCAAACTTGGTGGCAAGCTATCTGTCATGTTAAATCCATGCAATTTTTCCAAGAAAAATTAGCAGTCTAATTAGTCTAATGCCCCACTGCTCTTTCCCAAGTCAAGTTTCTATGGCCTGGTTTTCTTCCCCCAAGCATAAAGGTACAAGAAATATTCCATATATATTTTGATATTAATACATGCTCACTCATTTAGTGCAAATATGGGGTAATTTGACTTGACTAACTCTTTTAATACCTTGCCAGAGAGTGCAGCTTATAATTAAAGTCCACCTTACGGTTGCATATCCAAATACGTTTTTAGCAGGTGCTTAACCTAAACTAAAACACTGTGGCTGTACTATAAAGACGCTAATTTAATTTTTACCATAATTAAGCAATCTAAATGTATATACAGAAGTCCCTGCACTTGAGTAGGTAACTGCAACTTAATGTCTGACATTAAACCCAGTATGGCTTGAAGTACTTATGTTGGTTCTATGCCTAAGTTGGACTCACACTGAGATGACATGAAACCACATGTATAATTAAATCAACCGGTGGCGTGATATATGATTTTATGCTGGTAAATTGCTTTTTGTATCACAGGCCACCAGCAGCTCTTTTATTGAAACTAGAATCAGAAAGCCCCTGTGGTGTCTAGGAGATGTAGACATACATTGTAAGCCAGCTACAGGGATTCGCTATTAAGAAAGATTCTTTAGTTTTGTACTAGAAAAAACACCATTAGATTAGTCAGCCTAATCTAAAGCACACTACTTCATTCACTGTTGCCAAATCATGTCCACTTTTCTCAAATGGTACGACATGAAATCCACGCCGCTGATTTGCGAGCCTGTTTTGGAGAGATGCTTTAATCAAGATAACAAAATTGATAAGTGTACCATCAGAAGCTGAGATGGTCAAATTAAAACTGCCCTGCACTGATTGATGATGGAGTTAAAAAGGTTTTCTATCGTCTTTGTGATCAGTTATAATGTTTTGTGTCACTTTGGAATTGAGTTGAAAGCCTGTGTGCCTTTGACCTTGCATTATCAAGAGTTAAGAGCCACTGCTTAATATGATTTTTATACAGCTTGACTGCACTATTGCCAGAAGACCTCTCCTCTCGTGCTCAATATCTATTATATTCCTGCTGAGAGGTGGTTCTGATGCATTTAATCTCAATAACCCCTGCTCACCGAGAGCTTTTGTAGTTAAAAAGGTCTAAGCTACCTACAGAGTACTCACATGTGCTCAGTGCTGACCACCTTGGTTTGGGGGTACACAGCAATCTTTGCTTGTTGTTATTGCTAGAATTGATCGAGCTAAAGATGAGAAAAGGTCATGGTAAATATGAAGCTTTTAGTACCTGTATTGATGGTATGTCCATACCAGGGGAGAGAAAACAAAAGTCAATAAAAAAAAAAATGATGCAGATAATCAAAGACGCACTGAATCATAAATGGGAATAAAAAGGTACAATTTCTAAAATTACTAAAGTCTGGAATTTGCAAGGCTGCAATTGCTGTTGTTCTTGCAAGTGTGTTACTTTGGAATTCTACGCTAGATTAGTCTCTCTTGGTTGGATAATTGATTTTTGATGTTCCTCCTCACTCCTTCTGCCTCCAGGCCTTTCATTCTTGTTCACCTGTCCACAAGCTGAGGGGATGAAAGATGTAAAGACAAGTCAGAGATGTCATTTTAGTTGGCTCTTTGGGATTACACAAAGTATTAGTGAGGCTATTTTTTCCCCGCAGACACACTGCCAGGCTGACAAGTGGCATGCAGCCTACTGGAGAAAAGGTATTGGCACTCTCTGAGCCTGACCTGTAAACACTTTGGCAGTCAGTGGTCATTTGGCCTTGGATAGACAGACTGTTCCTTCCAGGCACTGCAGCCTCTATCGCTCTGTATAATCACACAATAACTGTAGCTCAAGGTAGAGAGGGTCCTTGTAGCAGAGGCTGTATCAACTCAAACATCAGCACCACATGGCATTGATACAGCTCCAGTGTCAAACAGTGTTGCTTCATTTTCTCTCTAATGGAGTGCAGGATTTTCTTCTTTACCATTCCCTCCTCTCCTCGGTCTCTTTCCTAACCTCAGGCTTCAAATGTCGGACACTTCCATTTCAAAAGACTTCATCTTCTGCTAGGTCAATGGAGTGCACAGCTCAGTTTGGCCTTCTTTTTGTGTGGATGAGAATTGGCTACCCAAGGCAGCAATTGCACTCTAGCTGGTTGTTGATGTGCTGCGATTTCTGCAGAAATGCCAGGCTGGGATTATGAACCATCATAGATTATTTAACCTCTGGCGGCTCGTGAAGTTTGAGTAACAAATACACATGTATACACACACATTACATAAGTAGTGATGGAAATTTTGCTGGACTTTTTACTTTATTTACTTTTGATTTGCTCCTTATTCAACTGAATTTTTCAGGGTGAAATTGCTGCAGGGTCTGAGATATACATGTGGGGAAGAATTAGAAATGTAGTTTGTTTTGGTTTTCGTAGTTGCTTGCAGAGAATCTCATTCAGTGGCTTTTATACCATGACTGTATTTGAGCTTGTTTGTATTAGCTATTATTATGACTGACAAGCGGGCACAAAAGTAAGAGCTTTCATCCTATGGAACAGCCAACATAAGCTGCATTTATTTGTTTAAGTGTGCTTATGTGTGTGCACCATGTGCACTTGTTTGTGTGTTTGCAAGAGATTTGCTTTAAATGAAGTATGACCTTTGCAGGAGGATAGGCCTGCTTTGAAATGGCAAGCTGTTTATTGAAGTGCCTTCCCTACACCCATTGCAAGCTCAAACAAATTACTACTCATAATATGAAAACAGTCAAACAGCATACAGACACCCACGGGACCATATACCCTGCAAAGTGTGTAAGATGCGGATATGGAATTGATCATAGCCAACAGACAAACTTGAGCAATAATAATAATAATAATGATAATAACTTGGATTTTTATAGCACCTTTCAAGGTACCCACTTTACAGGGAAAGAAACACAAAATGAATAAAGAACAAATGAATGAAAAAAAGACGAGACAGAATAGGGATGGCAGAGATTGGAGGGGATTTTAGGAGATGAGGCAGCTAGAAGCCATAGGACTTGGTGAACAGGTGGGTTTTCAGCAGTTTTTGAAAATGTCCAGCGATGCTTCTGTGCGGATCTCTTCCGGAGGAGAGTGCCAGAGGGTGGGGGCTGCCACAGTGAATGCTCTGTCACTGAAAGATCGCAGGCTGGTGTAGGGGGTGGAGAGCAGACCAGTGTCCGAGGACCGTAGGTTCTGGGACAGGGAATAGGGGTGGAGGAGTTCAGACAAGTACAGGGGTGCAAGATCATGGAGGGATTTGTAGGTGAGGGAGAGGATTTTGTACTGGATACGGGCTTTGACCAGAAGCCAGTGAAGTTGGATGAGGGTGGGGGTAATGTGCTGCCAGGGCTTGGTGCAAGTTAGAACCCTGGCAGCTGAGTTCTGGGCATACTGGAGCCTGTCGAGGGTTTTGCTGGAAACCCCGAACAGAACTCCATTGCAGTAATCCAGACGGATGGTGACGAAGGCGTGGATGAGGGTCTCTGCGACAGAGTCAAAGAGTGATGGCTGGAGTCGAGAGATGTTTTTGAGTTGGAAGAAAGCAGATTTGGTGATGGACTTGACATGTGCGTGGAATGAGAGAGTTGAGTCCAAAATGACACCCAGGTTGCGGACTTCCAGGGATGGGGAGATGGAGCAGCTGTCGATGTCCAGAAGTAGGTGTAGATCTCGAACCTTATGGAGCAGGGCCTTGGGAGCCACAACCATGAGCTCTGTTTTATTGCTGTTGAGTTTGAGTAGGTTAAATGACATCCAGATTTTGATGTTGTGCAGGCAGTTGACAAGTGATTTTTTGGGAGCTGGGTGGAGGGTTTTGTGCTGAGATAAAGCTGTGTGTCGTCAGCATATGAATGGAAGCTGAGACCGTGTTGGTGGATGATCTGACCAAGGGAGAGCATGTAGATGGTCAGGAGGAGGGGTCCAAGCACAGAGCCTTGGGGTACACCGTGGTTGACTGGGGCAGGGGCTGAGCTAGAGCCTCCAATGGTGACAAACTGTTTTTGATTAAGCAACCTTGCTGTCAATTAATAAGATGGAGTCTGGCAGTTTTGTCGATAAAAGATGTCATGAGGTTGTAAAGAAAGACTGTGTTTATCCAGTTAATTTAGTATTCATAAAAAAGGTGCAATTTCTAGAGAATAGTTTATTGTCTCTAAGATACAAAAAAGAGAAAAGACTGCCATAGTCACAGTAAAAGGATATTCTCCACAGTGCCTAGATAACGCAGTACAGCAGATACCATGACCTTCTTTTCCTTATTCATGTGCGTGGAAGATTTATCTGTATACCAGTGTTTTATGTATACATTATATACTATAGGTCCCATACCTTGATAAAATACATATGCAAGGCTTTCATTCTCCCCTATGCTTGCTGCTGAGCTGTTCTCCACGAGGGAAAGAATGTGGTGAATTTTTGATTATCAGCTGGATGTGGATTTTAATTCTAAACTCTCACCTTTTTTTCTCTCCCAGGATCTTAACGGCACGCTGAAGAGCTTGCTGTCTGAGTGGTTCTCTGTAGGTCTGCTGCGACTGGAGAGAATCACCTGGCAGTCCCCCTGTGAGATCCTGCAGAAGATCAGCCAGTATGAGCATTCATGCACCCCCACACTGTGTTTATGTTCTTTATTTATTTTCCTCTTTCATTTCATTGTAATCTCTGTTTTACATAAATATTATACAGTATGAAAATTGACTGGTCACTTTACCCCCTCCTCTGACCAGTTATAGTCCAATCATAGTTTAGCAACTATAACTAGGCGTGGCAGGCATGTCAAGCTGTACTGACACATACTGAACTTAAGGAGTAGACAGTAGAAGTCTGTCACATTACACTGCATATGTACAGACATGGAAAGTTTCACAAGCATAGCAACACTAACCAATGAAGGCGGAGCTTAGTGAATGGTCAACTGAAATACTAACTATCTCTGTCTCTGTCAGGTATGAAGCAGTGCATCCTGTAAGGAACTGGTCTGACCTGAAGCGCAGAGTGGGGCCATACCGCCGTTGTTATGCCTTCACCCATGCCGCCATGCCAGGAGAACCCCTGGTTGTACTACACGTGGCCCTCACGGAAAACATTTCTGATAATATTCAGGTTAGAAGCTACTGCAGGCTTCTGTAATGATTTGTCTGACTTAACAACAACTTGGGGGATGGTTAAACATCTGGGAGTAATCTGGGATTTCCTCATGTCAGTTGACAAATGGATTTTAACTGTGTGTAAAACAATACCAAGACCTTTACACTTCTTATCCCTCTGGCAGCGACCTCTACAGTGCTGACTTCCTGTTCTTGTTGTTTACAGTTGGGAAAGGGGGTTTTGACAACACTGAAATTTGAGAATATTTCACGATGTTATATAGTGCACATCTGAAATATTTGGATATATGACTGCTATCCCAAGAAGAACACTGAGAATGGACTTGTATCTGCATGATACAAATGTACAATTTGTATTTGTGACTTAACAAAATTTGTGTTTTTCTTTTAGAGTATCGTCCGTGAGTTTGCCACTCTCGACTCTGAGGAGGATGTTAATAAGATAAATGCAGCCATTTTCTATTCCATCTCCTCAACCCAGGCTGGCCTTCAAGGGGTGGAGCTGGGCAACTACCTCATCAAGAGGGTGGTGCGAGAACTGCAGGTGGGTGCAAGAGGGATTCAGGATGTAATTTAAGTGCCTGTCAGAAAAGCATTAGTCAAAGAGCTATTAAATATGAGGGATGAATATGACAGCCAAGAAAGTAACTCATCAAAGTTCCATTCATTTAGACTTTTAGACATTTAGAGCTCTCACACCTTGTTGTGGCTTGCTTTCATGTCTTTTAACAGCTCTATTCAGAAAAAAATAATTTGAGTCAATACTCACTGTGAGAACTGGAGGAATCATCACAAATACACATTTTGAACAATATGAATTATAGTATTTTACCATTGCTTTGGCTCAGTTTTTAGACCAAAGTTCCAATGTACAAAACTTTTAATGAAAACTGACCTAAACTCTTACCCTTACAAAATGCTGTGCTGTCCTACACTAAATGACTTTCTCAGTCCTCAGAACACAGCCACATCAAATTGAAAGAAGATTGAATGCTTCTAACTGAATGTACAAATCACTGAATCGATGCAACCCGCTTTTTAAAGCATTTCTCTTTATATTAACATAATAAATTGTGCATTAAATAGTATTTTTTATCATTGCAATTCAAGTAATCTTTGAGTAAATAATCATTTTATTTAGATATACAGCAGTGATTAATTGTTTGGATTTGAGAAGTATTAGGAATGTTCATTTTGAATTTTTTTTCTGGCTGATAGCCAACATTCATTAACATACCATTAACATTAACTGTTAACTGACAAGATTAAAATGTTGACAAGTGTCTCTAACACATTTAAAAAAATACCAATACACAGTGGTTGAAGTTGACCAAAACGATCACACACACACAGGCAGGAGAGAAGCCCCATCTCAGCAGATTATCACACAAGGTGATGGTCCTCTTAACAACATTTTTGCAGAAGAAGCGACATCCCGCTTACACACATAAAAAGCTCTATGTTATAAATTCTTTATTATAAAGATCAGCTCTACGTGTGATTAACAAAGACTAGAGGAGCAGAATCACTTCTTGATCGGCAGAGAAATGCACTTCTGGTGAACAGCCAGGCTACTGCTCGTGCAACACAGAGTTGGACTGGCATTAAACATCAAAATCAAAACAACAGGCCAGGCCTACCTCAGTCCTCAGCATAGTTGACAGCCTGTCTAATGAGTTTTATTCAGAAATGGCAACATGTCGACATGCTGTCGGATTAGTCTGATGCTCAGTCCACTAACTTTCAGACCTGTGGTGGAAAATACCCACTCAGATGTCCCAGGATATTTTAACTGTTTAAAATTCTTATTGTCGGTTAACGATTAAGCAGTTAATGATGAACAAACCTAAGTACTATAGCACTATAGGTGTTAATCAAAACACTGTGGAAATAGAGCCTAAGCCATTGTAAAATACAGTAAAAGAATATTTGAATCCATTCTATTGGAATTCCTATAATAACTTGGCTTGGGTAAAGCAGAGGTGGCACTTAAGGTAAGAGAGGAGGCAAGGTTACGTAAACACCTGTTATCTAAAAAAAATAACCATAAAGTACCCAGTTTTATCAGTGAAGTATTCAAACCATCCTGTCCCATAAAAGCTAGATAATAACATCTTATCCTGACATTGCACACAGCACATGCTCTGATATAGCTATCCATCATTACCTCCCGCAGAGCTCCTAACCTCCTTCCTTATGGTGTAGTATCAAAAATTGTTGCTTGTCTCCACCCCAGGAATAAAATGTTCCGCTCTGTATGACTCGCATGCTGAATTCAATTAAAAGCTGTTTGTTAGCCTTCAGGTGTAGCCCAGCTGGCACAGTGTTATTCCAGTAAGAAATATAGCTGTGACAGGCTAGATTAGTGTTTGATTGCTTTTCAAAAGTTTTTATTTTAGTCTCAGTACTGAATCATAAATCCTCCACTTGTTTCTGTACTTCCTTATACGCACATGAATGCATACACACATAAACAGAAGAAGACACCAGAAACGCAGTAATGAAATCGCATCCATCCCTCTCAATAAGCGCAAGAGTCCTTGTTGAGCCACTCCAGCTAGCACTTGTCAAATGATTGGAACCCTGAATGGAACATCAAAAGCCACTCTACCCAACAGATGGGGAACCGCTCTTTATAGTGTATCCTCATAAAAATCAGATTTCAGAGCTTTAAGCTGCTTCCACTTCAGTTTTTCATACAATGGGACTGTTTTGATTGCATTTTCATTAATGGCAACATACTGTTCAGTGAGCTCTGCAGATATTGTTTTGTGCTCTCTGCGTCAGCATTAGGTGCTGTTTGTGTCAGAGGTTGGAAAGTAGGTTATTGCACTGTGTTGTTAAAGCCTTACTAATGTGGAATGTTGTCTTAATCAGAAGGTCTACTAGCTTTGCATGTCAACATCTACTCCTGTAAAAAAAAAAAAAGTGTTCTACTTTTCCTTCAAACAATAAACAGCAGTAACTGCAAACCAGTGATACTGAGAAGAAAGGGTTCAAAGTTTTCAGGCGGGCAACAGATAAAAAAGTTGTCATTCCTTCATATTTTGTGTGTTTTTCTGTTTTAGTTATGCAGATTACTTTACCCAAATAAATCACTGCTATATAAGCTACACAAACACACACTCTCATATGCATTCAAACCTTTTCTGGACACTTTTATCCGAAGTACCCATGAGTGCATACACTTTTTTATGACCCTAGTGAGAATTGAACCCCTGACCCAGGCAGTGTAAGTGCAATTCCCTGCCCTCAAGGCTACACAAAACCACAACCCAGACTTGTATTCTGCAGAGGCCCAGGCTGTCTGACAGGGCTTTACCTTACATAAAGGTGAAGAGAGGAGCAGCGCAGCCACAGAGGGACCACTATGATGATGGATAGATGATAGAGTGGAAAAGAAAAGGTCACAGTTGTGATTTAAGGTGAGGAGAGGAGGTGTTGCTTGTCTTTGTAGATTAGACCCTGGAGCGCAGTTCTGGCGCAGCTCCTCTTTTTTTCTACCTATCCTTTCCTCCATGTTCCCTTTTCACCTTTCCTACCGCCTCTATCCTTATTTCCACCATCTTCTGTTTTCTCTTCATCCTGCCCACTCTTGACATATGAGCACTCAGTAGTTTAAAGCAGAGGTTGGAGTGACAAAGGCGAGATCGTGAATGAGAAGAAATACAAGGGGAGAGCCGGCAGGACATGGAACGTGAGAGGGCTGGATTTTGAAGTGAAGGGAGGGTGAAATGAAGGAGGTAGAAAGGAAAACAATGTTGCATAGTGAGGCAGACAGACAGCAACATGTTCCTCCAGGGGTTGTCTGACACTTCCACTTTCATCTGCAGCCTTTCACTCTTCTGCCTTCTGCCTGCCACATCACTCCGTCACTTATCAACCCAGACGCCGGTGAGCGAAGACGGGCGGAGGGGTGTGTGTCTTGACAAAAGGAGAGGGTAGAGGGCTGGCAGAGAACTCATGAGATGGGTGGGTGGGTGGTCTAGACGAGACAGAGACACGGGGATGAGGAGAGTGAAAGAAGAGGACGGGTGTTTAAGGTGAGAGTGCAGGGAACAGAGGAGGAGGAGGATAGAGTAAGAGGGAGGGGATCATCCATCTCCATCAGCAGGGCAGGATGATGAAGCAATGGAAGTGATTTGTTATGCTGTCCTGTCCCTGTCTGAGGAACTGAAGGCCCGAGCAGCAGCCTGAGCACAAACGAGAATTTCTTTTTTTTGTGTGTTTTGATGCCGAGGTTGAGTGTTCATCTCCCTTATTTCTGCTGTTGCAGAAGGTGTGCCCTCTGCATGCCAGTGGGGATCAAATCTCTGCTGCCTCTCATCTGTTTTCTTTATACCTTTACCTTGTTTTCTCATTCCCATCCCTTTCCTAGTTTGCTTTTTGTTGTTGTTGTTTTCTTCTCTTCCAGCTGGTTAAGGCAGGTTGAGGCAATTCTGCACTGAACTGACTCTGCATGTAAATGACTGCAACTTTTTCTGTTTCAAAACAGGGGATTAAAAAAATGAAACTTTTTAACCCTGCCATGTATGGATGTTTTTTTTTCAAATATTTCTATACATGTTTTGTTTTTGGAGACTTGTTCCATATTTAACACGGACTGAGCTACAAATCAAAATAACATTGCTTCTAACATTTGCACAGTGTTAATAATAAAGCCTCCAAAATACATGTCAGTTTATTTATTTATTTATTTATTTTTCTAATCATTTATAGATGCCAAAAAAAAAAGTGTAGTCTTTTATACATTATGTTCATCTATATGGTACTGGCCTACACTTAGGCTGTAACTGCTCAGTGATGGGCACAAACACAAAGTGGGTAGCACAGTAATCGCAAATCACAGTACTGTCTGGTGGCTGTGGCAACATGGTTGTGCCCACTGCACGCGCTGGTCCACAGTTTTGCTCTTTTTGACCTGCGAGCTACCATCGTCATACTCATGCTCCAGTTCTGCTTCTGAAAGATCAGACTGATGAGTTTGCATAAAAATAAAATCCTCATCATCAGTTGCTTCAGACGTGTCTTCATTTTCAGACTTACTGTCCTGAAAACCCTGCAGTGTACCTGACACACTTATGATGCATTGTTATGTGACTGTGACATGAGCAGTTTTTCATCTATATGTCAGCCTCTATTCATAGTATCGAATTGACCCAAAAAGTAACACAGCTTTAAAGACCCTAAAAACAGAAAACACTAGAAAAGCAGTGATTTTCAACTATTTCATGCAAGAAATAGTTTGAGGAATAGAAGGGATTTTAGGGCCTTGCTGAATTAAATGGATGAATAAAACATGGTGTAAAACGGCCCTACATTTAAGGGCTAAATCTGCCTCTCTCTTTCCTCATGTCTTCCAGAGTGAGTTCCCTCACATGGCCCAGTTCTCCAGCCTGTCACCCATCCCAGGCTTCTCCTCCTGGCTCCAAGGCCTCCTCAGCCAGTACAGAAAGGAAGGCCGGGGCTCTGACCTCCTCTCTGAGCAGGAGTGGAAGGAGGTGGAACAGGCCACTGACTCACCCTCAGGGACCCCAGCTCTAGATGCCCTTCGCAAGCTGATCAGCACCAGCGAATGGTTGCGCTCAGAGCGGCTGTCACGTGTCCTGGAGCCCGTCTTGATGCGTCTCTGTGCCTGGTACCTCTATGGGGAGAAACGGCGAGGTTACGCCCTCAACCCAGTGGCTAACTTCCATCTGCAAAACGGTGCCACCATGTGGCGACTCAACTGGCATGCTGACACCAGCCCCAGGGGTGTGGCGAACTCCTGCGGCATCATGGTGAACTATCGTTACTTCCTGAACGAGACCTCTAAAAACAGCGCTCTGTACCTGCAGAATAAGGTCGTCATGGCATCAGAGCAGGTGCTGGGACTGGTGTCCCAATTTCAGAAGAACAGCAAACTGTGAGAAAGAGACAGCCATAAATACTTCTGCTTTTGATCTGCAGTTGAGATTGCACTTGATATCCCATATTTACTGATGAACTTTATTTTGTTTGTCTTTAATATTTAATTAAAAAACAGCTCCAGAAGCCCTACTGAGTGGACATCAACTGATACTGTTTTTGAATAGAAATTAGACCATTTCTCACATGACGTGTCTCATCCCATCTGCTGTATCTAGTGCATAGGTTGGGCTGTTTGCCTCATTGGGTTTCTAGTAGAAAGTATTTGATATTGTGCAAGTGTTTCCCAGGCTGAGAGACTGTAGCTAATGAAGCGTGAGGCATCTATCAATGCCTCTCCATGTTCTTGGATAACAGTGTGTGTAATGGTGACGCAGGAGCAATGAGAGAGTGCAGCTACTGGAATAAATGATGTTTAGGTTCTTTCATTTAGCTGAACTGTCTCACTGCAAACATGTTTAGGAATAGGAGAGTTTTGGATTTTTTTTTCTTGGGCTGGGTTGATATACACCTGCTTTTACATTGCTTACTCCCACTAAAGCTCATTGCACAAAAGCATGAAACCACAGACTGGAAGTATTATTTCATATTAAATAACTCTAAACGAAACTGGATTTATTTTCTGCTGTGCATCACAACTGTGCTAACTCTGATCCTGGTACCTCCAGTCAGGTGTATTTTTAATAATTTTGCCTTCATATGCACACACACACACACACACACACACACACATACACACATACACACAAGTGGTCAACCTCTCCAGAGAGCCATCACTGATGTCCTAACTGCTCTGTACAGGTGCCAAGCAGGGCTCATATCAGCCCACACCCCATTGTTGTGAAATAATATATCACAGCAAGTTGACTGTGAAATTACATTTTATCTCTCCAAGGAGCCAAACTTTCTTTTCATTTTTTTCACCCCCCCCCCCCCCCCCCCGCCACACCACCACACCACCACTGCGCACCCCTCCTTTTCTCTGCCTGTGCCGCTCTGTGTCCTAGAAACTAATGGAGTGAGAAATAAAGTTAAAGTAAATGGCTAGATTGATGGTGTTCAGTTGTGAAGGGGGGGGGGGGATAAAGAAGCATAAAAAGGACAGTTGTTTAAAGGATGCCCTTGAGAGACAGTGAGGGTGTCTCTGGAGATATTGGAGACAATAAGAGACCCATACCTCTGTGTGCACTGAGCGTGGGGAACACGGGAAAGAGCAACACTGTCATGCTGTCTCACAATGGAGGAGGATGAACACTGTGGTGTGGGTTGCCATGGAAACAACAGTGACATATTCCACATCTGCTGCTGGCAGCTAGAGCTTGTTTTGAGTCACCTTTGCCCAGGAATGACTGACGGTAGTGACCACAAAGCAGTTCAGATTAAAAGTCCAGTATTTTTTAATTATAAACTCCTTTATAAAATAAATTATGTTGTATGGTGAAAGTAATGGCATTTTTAAAGTTATGTTCCGTAGGAGCAAGGAGAAAAATTGCTCACATGGCAACAAGTTAGCAGCACTGAAATCTCATTTATGGACACCTTGGGTCCCACTAAATGAAATTATACGGACCTCCTTAGTGGAGGCTTTTCAGTGCTGGACACCTACAGTATCTGATGGAAAGGCTTCTAATTGTTTTAAAGGTGACGATAAAGTGCTAATCAAGTCCACTTTTCATGTGTTAAATGGAGTTAATTTGAAAATGGCTGTTCAAATGAGTGGTATCTGAACATGTAACTACTCAAAATGCCATTGTAACAAAGAGTGTTTGATACTTTTAAGGATCTCTGATCAAATTGCAGTAAAATTGGATTGCACAAGCTCTTTGTAGACAAATGTGGCAGCAAGTATTCTGATCACTGACAATTTCCACAAAGGCACAGTGTGTGCTTAGACCAGTCTTCATTTGTATCTAATCAGATTGCAGTTTTGTCACATTTCCAGCCCGGCACATGTTGATAATGGATTCACAGCCAAGTTCAATATTGTACTGCTCTGTTGTCTGACACGTCTTAGAGCCAATACTTTCCAAAAAGCAGCAGAAGACCTAATTACAATTGATTAGAAACTGTCTGCTGTGGAAATTCATGCCTCATCTAAAAATAATCCAGTAATTCTGACAGTCCTTTCATTTTTTTTAAAAGATGGGGAATGCATGTGTGCATGGTGGTGGTGGTGGTGTATTCATTTCTTGTCCCTCGTTCAGAGGAAATTGCCTTACAAATGAAACTAATCCATTTTTTACAGATCACAGTGGCCAGAAAAGTCAGAGTGGTGGCCATGGCATTTTCATGTTCTAATTCATTCTGATAAGGTCTGAGATGTGAAAGTCTTTTGTCTCTATCTGTTTGAAGAGACAACAATAGAAATTAATGCTGGACTGTGTCACTGATAAACTTGGATATTTTGAATTTTATATAATATAATATAATATAATATAATATAATATAACATAATATAATATAATATAATATAATATAATATAATGTATCAAAAAAGCAAAAGGAAAAACAGTGAACGGACCTCTGGATATGGCATCATTTTACCCTAAATAAAATGAACGGAAATACTGTGTACTGACATGAGTTTATAGTGGTTTCAATAGATTAATAATGTCACATTTAGTTATCAGGCAAACAGCTCCAAAACTTCACCCAAACACTGTATATCATCTATCAGACAGATATGCTTCAGTCTCATTTCATTTTATTGAAGTACTTGATTATATTAAATGGTATAGAATATAAACATTGGCACAGGACACAAACAAACCCATTCCAACTCAGTTTAGTCCAATATTTCTTGTGATCACTGTGCCACAGTGGAAAACGTGGATTACAAACATACCAAGTTGCATTCAGTTCATCAGTGCCATTCTCAAAGGCAAATGCAGCAGAAAAATTACAAAAGAAAAAAATTCAATTAATTTGAGTAAACCTTCAATGTCAACTATGTCTCTTGGAACCATCAAATTATTGTCCCAGCCAGCATACAGTGACCGTTGCCAAAAACTGAAGAATAACTTAATCGTTTCTTTTTAAAGTTCCTCTCCAGAAATGTTTTAAACTATGTAAAAATACTCTGTTATGGTTAATATTTGAGAAATTCTGGATCGGGCACGTGCCACGCCCACCATCGCTGCTTGCGCTAGGTTTACAGGTAAAACGGCACTGCTGTTTTGAAGATGGAGGAAAGAGACTCAACCTCAGACGTTTGTTGAGGAGTGAGGAATTTGTCGTGTATCAAAATCTGCGATTAAAAGACGTATCACAACGGTAAGCATAGTTATTTGTTCACTGTGTTTGCTAGCTTATTTGGCTGACACACTGTTAGCGGCTGCGCTAATCTAAACTCTCTCTCTCTGTACTGACTGAAGAGCTGTGTGTATCAAGATGGTTAGCGTTAGAGGAAATATCAGAGAAACTCAGCCACATGTTTGAGCCTCAGTCAAACCCAGACTCAGATGAGGAGTCTGTTGTGACCAAAATCGGCAACTAACAGAGATATCAGAATTGCGAAGTTAGCATCTTTTATATGTTTATGTTGTTTGTTAGCTTGCAAGTGGCTGACACAGTGATACTGGTTGTGTTAATGCAAACTCTTGCTCTCTGTACTGACATGGTTTCAGGTTTATTTTGCCGACTCCCTGTCCCTGCAAAGTTGACGGGATTGGTTTCTTAGGTTTGTTACATATGGACCCCTGGCTGTCTGAATCTGTTTTTATGAGACTGACATTGGTTCACTGCAGTTTCAGTTTGGAAATACACAGTCAATGGGGTTTGTTACTTATTTCAACCATGATGTCTTGTATTATATGAAAAACACCATAGCGACATGTTAACCAAGTCTAAAACTTTATTTTCATCGGAGGGGGTCTGTAACACACCACAAAATCTTATCTTAAACCAAGCTTAAAGCCCCTGATAACCTGGTCTTTTAAGTATTTGTGATTAAAGAGGCACAACCATGTTCTGATAATCTTTAGGCATTGTTCATTTAACATTTAATAGTCAGCTAATCTGCTTCATCAGGACTGTGTGATTGTTGTGTTGATTGACAGTGGCCAAAACCCTGTTACCAGACTTTTGACTCAAATATCACTACATTCTTATTGGTGGACAAAACTACATGAATATGAACACATGGATAAAACACAGACAGAAGTCTCACACTTTATAACCAAAACTGTGGCAACTTTGGAGAGAAATGATTTTCAAGGTCTTTAACAAGCAGCAGCTATACAGCCTACTTTTCCAATCAGTGATGTGCATTTACAGTGGTGTTAAAAGAAAGGAGCCATTTATGTTTTTCAAAACATCAGTGAACTTTTTGCATGTGTTTTTTTTTTAGGGCATCAGCTCACTTTGAATGATGTGTCCCCTGCAATTTTATAGGGTGGAGCATTTTATTGTAACATTCATCCTGACATTTCAGGGAAATCGATGCATCCCACTTTTTCAGCTTGAGTCGTTTTTTATAATGAGGACTTTCGCACACATGCTCTAAATGTCATTGTGTGGTCTATTCACATCAGGATTCACAGGTAAGTGATGATGAGGAAAGTAGGATTTTGAGTTGATACTGAAAGGCTGGCTTTACCTGCAGGCCATTTACTTTTGTGTGTATATGTGCGAGAGTGTGTGAGGGGAGGGTTCATCCAAGTGTGTTAATCCATTCTTCCTGGTTGCTGTTGCTGGCCCTCCTTCATGCTTCTCACCTCACATCATCACCATTCTCCTCCTTCTCCACCCCCTGGTAACCCGACCCTGCACCCACAGCCCATCCAATCCCTTGGTCTGTCTTCAAAGGGCTTCACGGTTTTACGACCAATCAGGACACGCACATACACACATTCCACATGTGCATAGCCACACACAATACACACTGCCTTTTGAGTCTGTCCATATTTTGCAAGCTGCAACCTTTAGAGGGCAGCAGAGTTTCACTCAGAGTGATAAACAATTCATTCCGATAGTTCAAACAATGCTTCTCTGATGCGTTCCCTCTTTCCCCTCACTTTTCTGATTTACCACAACCTCCCTCTATTCTTTCATACCCTCCTCTTGCATTCCCTCCCTTCTCTCTTTCTTTTCCCTTTGGGTCCGCGCTCTTCCTTCTCTCAGCTCACCCCACCCACCCCCTCGTCTCTGTCCCAGTTGCGGAGTGAGTTGGAGATTGACAGATCTGCTATATCTGGTTATAGGCTGTAATTAAAACTCATTTGGCTTGCTGATGGCATTTTCCGCCCCCCTTCATTCATTGCAATTAGTCAGTATTGGTTGACCTGACGTCTTGTATCAGATTGGGTTATTGAATGAAAAAGAGGTAAACAGGCAGAGGTGGCAGCACCCTTGGGTGACAGCTATTCTAGGCCTGATACAGTTGCCAGACAGATTGAAATGAGAGTGTGAAAACTCTCTCTCCTTGCCTCTGTGTGTGTCTCTCTCTCACACACACACATGCACGCACACACGTACACACACACGCACGCAGGCACGCACGCGCGCATGCACACACACACACACACACACACAGACACACAGAGAGACTTACAGACTTAGTCTATCCTTTCTTGGATCACTGATACAGAAAAAACTGAACAGAAGTTAAACACCTTCCATAAAGTGCACCAGTATGCAGACAATGGACTCTGTTGCTGAGTTCATTGATCAGGTAAACAGTCTGAGGCCAAAAGGTGATGATCACTCACAAATCACTGTTGTCCTTTCCTCTTGAATTATGAGCCAACTGGAAAAATCTGGAAAGTTTTTGACTTTGAAAAGTCACATTTCCCAAACTTTTAACAATTGTTAAA